TAGAAAAAAAAAAATTTATCAAACCTCAAAGAGCTCTCTTTATTTATAGTCTAGCAATAAGCAATTAATGACAATTCAATATATTATCAGTAAAACTAATAAAGACAACTATATATTGCAATTTAAAGACAAATAAATATTGAAATGTTTAGATATTCATCGTTAATAAAATTATTAATAAATATTTTCACCATTAACCTTCTCTATCATTCTTTTAAATATATCATTCATAATAATAAATGATAATTTTGATTGAATATAATGATATTCAATATCAATATTATGATAATATTAATTTAAAAGACAAATTACAATACATATTCATATGATAATCAACATCAAAATTATGATAATTTTGAATTAAAAAACAGATTATAATATTATAATAATTTTAATTATTTGATATATATTAATATGACAATTGAATAACAATTAAGACCAACATTATGTAATTTTAATTGAAAAGATAGGTTACAACATTATAATAATTATAATTATTTACTGATATGCATTATTTATGATAATTGAATGATAATTAATATCAATATTTATATAGTACTATAACTAATAATTAAATTCTATGTAGCGTTATTAAAATTTAAGAGTCACATGTGGCATTGTAATCCTACGTGTCATTACCAAAAATTTTATTGGACAAGAACAAGAGAAAAACATTTATTTAAGAAATGATACATGTCAACTTTTTGAGAGAAAATGATTGCGTTATATATATATATTGATGTGCATTTTATTTGCATATATTCTTTTAGCCTTCTGGATGGAAGTTTTTTTTCAAAAAAAGAAAATAGTCATGGAAAAATATTTTTTATTGTTGAAAGATGTAGTGAAAATTTATTTTCGAGTCCACATTTTTGAATTTCTGTAGTTTGAAGAGAAAAATAATGGGAAAAATATAATTACTTATTTTTATTAAATTACCTAAATATCCAAACTAACTAGATGAACATTTTATTGTTTAAAAATAAATGAGAACACATTTGTCAAATTTGAATAATGATATTTTCTTTCTCCTAAATTTTATTTTTCCAAATAAAGAAAAATAAATATATTTTCTTTCTTTATTCTATCAAAGAAAAAGATTAAAAAAATGCTAAATTTTCTCTTTATTTTCTTTCCTCTTATTTCCAAACAAGGCAGTAGTCCCATATATGTAGTATGAGGAAATATAAAATAATCCACATAATATTAGGTCATAGCATGCTTCCTAGCATTGTTTGCTTCATTTTTTTTTTTTTTTTTTTTTTTTTTGAGTAAGATTTTTTGCTTTCAATTCAGAGTAATGTTGTAAACATATCTAGTTGAGGCAGGAATGAAATTAGACTCTAAAAATAGCGGGTAAAAAAGTAAAAGAGTTTTTTTTTTTTTTTTTTTTGAAAATTAGGAGAAACCAAATAAAAATATTTTGGAGCTTAGGCAGTAAGGGTATGTGAATTCAAATGAATTCCATATTTCTATAATAAAATTAAAGCAATTATGTCAAAGGTAAAATATATAACGTAGTATGGTCTGAATTTATTTAGATTTTGGGACAAAAAGAAAATGTTATTGGTTTTCAACTCGGTTTTCTGAGAAACAGAACTATTGGGCATGGGCCAACCAATGTTAATGTCTTCAAAACAAATGGTCATTGAACAAATTAAAAAGATGGCCCAACCAATCCATTTCACAGATTTATAAGCAAAAGTATCCACCCAATCCAAGCCCAGCCGAGTCCAGCCCAACCCAACATATTTCTCTTGCGTACAATCACGTGGCGGTGTTAAATTTTGCTTCGCAACTGAAAGAGTTAGAGTGAGAATCATCATCGGCCGACAGCTGGCAGGCTTAACAAAACTGGCAAGAGAGAGGCCAAGAGGAAGTAATGGACGACTTAAAAAGCCAAGCTTTGGCTCGCCTTTCTTTTTTCAACGCCAATGGAGGTGGCCGGAGCCGCATGTGTGTCTATTGACGTGGTGGTTGCTGGGAGTGGGGGGCTCATGCAACCGCACATTTGGCTGGAAGGCAAGGCAGCTTCGCAAATGACTGGCGTCTGCACTCTGCAGCGTCTGTAGCCTCTCGTTTGGGATGACGAGAATACCCCAAAGACATTTGGATGCCAAAAGTTGTCTTCTGCACGACTTAGTTGCAATTAAAAAAACATATAATTTATTTTTCACTGATTCTTATTTTTTATAAAGGAAGTCTATCTAAGTGATTTACGATTAACTTTTAAGCTCTTATTTTTTAATAAATTAAATCAAACTATTTGCCTCAAAAAATAAGCGTTTGCAACGCAATTAAAGAACAGCAAGGTCATTTACGTCCATGAAAAATTAGACCGTCGAAGAGTTGGCAAGAAGAAAAGTGCCACCTCATTGAACTCAATCAACACGTGAATTGATTCCCTCGTGGGGGGCTCTTTCTTTCGCCGATTCATTCATCTTTTACACAGACATATATAGAGAGAGACACACACAAGGACACCTAACTCCATCTGTGACAAGAAGCCAGAGATCCATCTAATGAAACATTTGTTGATGCATACATTATAAAAATATTCTCTTAAACGCAAAATGTATATGTAAAGAAATCCCTGCCATATACAAAGAATCTTCTTCAGAAGCTCAAATCTCTCTCTTATAGTCATAGCTACAGTCCTCTATCGTTGGTTACCTCTCTCTCTCTCTCTCTCTCTCTCTCTCTCTTTACCTCTCTCTCTCTCTCTCTCTCCTCTCTCTTTCTATTATAATATATATATAATTTTTTTTTTTTCTTCTTTTTTTCGAAAAGTTTGAAATTTTGGAGAAAAGACAGGAAGGTGAAATATTCCTTTTAGTGTTGGATCCAACTTGCACTTGCTATATTTTTTTTTTTTCTTCTTTTTTCGAAATTTGATTGGAGGAAAGACAGGAAGTGAAATATTTTAGTGTTGGATCAACTTGCATTGCTGTTATATATACGGTCCATCGCGGGAGAAACATCAAGGAGTAATATTGAAGGTAATTATCAGCGTAATCTTCCCAATTGCTATAATTTTAGTTTGTTTGAGCTTGATAAGCATTGAATAAACATAATTCTGTTAGCTTCGTAAATTTTCTTTTTTTGACACTTGAAGATGGAATATCCGATCTTCTGTGCATTGGTATTTACAATCCAGGTTTAAAATGGATCTGGGATTTTCACGATTTAGGTAGCTTTAGCTTTTGTTTTGACCTCGTGTGTTTGTCTGTTTCTAATGTTACATTCTCAATCTCAAATCAATTGATGAAAATTACGATAGACAAAAAGAAAAAAGATTTCATTACTATTGGCTATTGCGATTTGCACAGAACAGAAATTTGAAATGTCTCTCAATCATATCACATCACTGTTATGATTATCCTTTTCTTTTTCGGTATTACTGTTATGATTATCTTTTAAATATATATATACACACATGAAGCAGGCAGTTACTATCTCTAATATTTTAACTGGACCGAACCGTGGCTATTGCGGGATAATCAGTTTCGGGTTCACTTGCCTATTCTTCCTGGTTTTGAGCATATACGGGTTTCTGATCTTATTTTGGCACATGGGGCACGAGCTTGGAATTTGCCACTGATACAAGGTTTTTTCAATCCTTCAATTGTTGAAATTATTACTTCTATTCCTTTAGCTACAAATGTTCAGGACGACATCCTTATATGGCATTGGACAGACTCTGGGATATACTCTGTAAAATCTGGATACAGATTAGTAGCATCTCAATATGTGGATCCTGAAGATGTTTGGCGGTCGAGTTTTTAGAAAATTCTTTGGTCACTGAAAATTCCGCCGAAAGTGAAGCATTTTCTCTGGAGGTGTTGTCGAGACATTCTGCCAGTTAAAGCAACTTTGGCAAGAAGGGGACTGGAGCTTAATACAGGATGCGATTACTATGGTAATACTGAAACGTTAGTTCATACTCTTGTTGAGTGTCCACGAGTGAGCATTTGTTGGCAATTTTTTGGTATTCAGCTTACTACTGGGACTTTTCCAACTTTCTTACAACTATTGGAACATTTACACAAGGCGTGGGAGAACGAATTTTTTGAAAGCTTTGTTATGGGACTATGGAGTGTTTGGTTAAGCCGTAATCAGCTGAAATGGAATTAAGTGGAAGAAGGACCTTATCACGTGGTTAGTCGAGCCAGAAGTATGCTCGCATCTTGGAAGAAAGCCCAGCTGAAGTCGCCAGGTTCAAGTACAGGTACCGATGCTCCTACAGGCAGTCAATGGCTTCCACCACCTGTCGGTTCTTTTAAACTAAATTTCGATGCCACTCTTCTCCCCTCTGTTGGCCATGGAGCCGTTGGTGCTGTAATCTCAAATTGCAACAGCGGGTTTGTATCAGCAGCAACGTCTTCATTACAAGGTTGTTCTTCTCCAGCAGTAGCAGAAGCACAGGCGCTCAGAACAGTGTTATCTTGGTTGTTATCGAGCTACTCCAGCCTGAAGATTCAGATTGAGACCGATTGTCTGCAAGTTTACTGTGCTATGAGGAATTCTGTCCAAGATTGGTCTGAGTTTGAAGTAGTTATTTCTGAATGTAAGCTACTCTTAGTCCAATTGCCAAATGTTACCTTGGCTTGGATTAGAAGACAAGCAAATGATATAGCTCATGTATTGGCTAAATCAGTTCCTCATGGAGCTTGTTTTCGAACTTGGGATATTGTATAAGAAGTTGGATTCAAGTACAGGATTTATCGACTATAATGTCTAGGACATATGGTGGTTTGGTCAAAATTGGAAGTATCAGCAGCTTGTTTTAACTTGCCCTGACCACGATTAATGAGAACAGGGTCTCGAACATAACTACATGTCCTATCTTCACAACAAAGTGACAAAATCTAACGACTCTTAATACCCTTTTCCCACACATTGTTATAATCTTTAAACATGTCATTAAGTTAGTAATTTGACTAGAGAGCAAGAAATTTTGGCATCTTAATATTATCGTTGTTTCCTAGGAATATGGTTGCCCCTACTGTCCTTATAAAGTCTACTATGGCACCTTGATCTGTTTTCAAGAAATCTGCAAAACCAACAAGGCGCATTGTTCTTCAAGTTAACCCAGGTGGCAGACTCTTCACTTATATGTTCTCGTTAGAATCACTGCAGCAACGACCTGTTACAGGCCATGGCATGCACTTCAGTGACTCTCTCTTCCTGTCCAGCAACCATGACCACCAAAGATGTCTTCAAAGAACATAATGGCCTCCGTCGATCAGAATCTGGCAAAGATCTGCACAAGCAAGCCATACTCCGAAGATCCTCATCAGAGAACCTCCTGTGTTGTTCTGTCAACCACATACATGCAGAAACAATACAGCCTAAGCTAAAGAACAGCCGTTCGTTTGGGATTTTTCCACTCCAAATTTCAAGCTCCATAATCCCAAACTCAATTAGATCATTTCTGTTTGATCCAGAAACAAGCAGAGACATGGATACAGTGGAGAAAAATGTCAATACAGGTGACAGTTCAGAGGAGAGCGATGAAGAAGAGGAGGTCAAGAGAGGAAATTGGTTGGAGAGGCTAATGGAGATTAGCAGTCATTGGAAAAACAGGCAGAAAAAAGAGGATGTAGATGGAGATGAGCTTTGTGATGTGGAAGAGAATTGTGACTGCAGTTCTGATGGTGATGAGGATGGGTGCATGGTGGACTATAACTTAGAAAAGGAAGAAGGAGAAATGAAATATGATCGTGAATCATTTTCAAGATTTTTGGCTCATGTACCATGGTCTGATACAAAGCGATTCTCGAAGCTGGCCTTCTTGTGCAACATGGCTTATGTCATACCTGAGATCAAGGTATGCCTACTTGTTTTCTACAATGATATATTGGAGATCCTAAAGTAATATTTTCTCAAAAAATGCTCTCATTTTCTGAGGTGCAAGGCATAAGCTAGCTTAATAATGTCCATATTATCTCTTCATGGAAGCTCCGTGATCTCCCTATCTTCAATAGGCAAATGATTAAATCACACCTAATTTCTTCTCTGATTTCATAGTTGAACTGCAAATTCAGAGAGTATAGAATTTACATAGAACTACAGATAGAATCTTTATCAATAGGTTGCAACTTACTGAAGGATATGTACTACTTTCTCTTATCTGTCCTCCGCAACTAATGGCTCTAGAATCTAGATAGTCCCCATTTTTTGAATTGTGCGCTTCTGGACTTTGTGTATGTGTACCAAATTCAGGCATTCTTTAGTTAATTGCACAGCATTAACTAACTTATATGAAGATTTCAGTTTTGGATTTTAACAATAAGGACAAGAAAGGCAAGTATATTAGTCAAGCAGCTTCAAGAAAATTTCCCTCTCCGTTCGTTTCTCATTCATTGTTTGATCCAAAGAAAGCATAAGCCTCAGTAGTTTCCCAACCTTCCCGAAGAAATAAAGCTTCAAACAAACATGCAGATAAAATTATCTAGTTCACATAAGTACTTCATCTATCAATTTGCAGGCCATGGATTTGAGAAGATACTATGGGCTAAGATTTGTAACGTCTTCCTTGGAAAAGAAAGCAGAGGCAGCTGCTGTAAAAGCAAAACTTGTCAAGGACTCTACATATTTACCTGTTGCTTCCCTTGTCAAATCCAAATTGGAGGAAGATGAGGACTCCAAGCAGAAGAAGCGCGCACTTCCCTCGTCTGTTTATGAGATTGCAGCATCAGCAGCATCTTACGTCCAATCACGCACAAAAGTCTATTCATCTTGTAGCTCTGCATTGCAGGATAAGAATGAATGTGCAGATTCACACAGAAGAGTAGCCCAACCAGATGAGTGGGGAGAAAACTCACCTCGAGTATACAAATCAGAGGTGGCTGCAGCAGTGGCAGCATCAACAATGACTGCAGTGGTTGCAGCTGGGGAGGAGGAAAAACAGAAGGCAGCAAAGTCCCTACAGTCACTTCACTCATCACCTTGTGAATGGTTTGTTTGTGATGACTTAAGCACGTATACTTGTTGCTTTGTAATTCAGGTAATCATTCCTTCACCATCTATCTTAATCTGCAAGAAAGAGACATTAGATAGCATATATCAGTCAAAGATTGCTCCTCTAGGCTTTAGCAAACCAATGCATAAAAAATAAATTTCACACAGGGAATGATAATATAATCTGAAATAAAAACAGCAATATGAGAGATCCCTAATGCGTAGAATGGTGCAAAATGCAGGGATCTGACTCCTTGGCATCCTGGCAAGCAAATCTCTTCTTTGAACCTACTAAATTTGAGGTGAGCATTGACTGCAACTTCTTACTGTTCCAACTGGGTACTTCAAATGACTATTCATATGGCAAATTAGGAGAGGAAAGACCAATATATCAATATATATTTTGTTATCACAGGGGACAGAAGTGCTTGTTCACAGAGGAATTTATGAAGCAGCAAAAGGAATATATGAACAGTTCATGCCAGTAATAATTGACCATTTGACTAGACATGGAGAACGTGCAAAGCTTCAATTTACTGGCCATTCCCTTGGGGGTAGCCTCTCTCTTTTGGTCAACTTGATGCTACTGACCAGGAAGGTAGTCAAGCCCTCCACTCTTCGTCCAGTGGTTACTTTTGGCTCACCATTCGTATTCTGTGGAGGCCACAAGATACTGAGTAATTTGGGGTTGGAAGATGGCCATGTTCATAGTGTGATGATGCATAGGGATATTGTCCCAAGAGCTTTCTCTTGCAACTACCCCAACCAAGTTGCTCAAGTCCTCAAGCGCTTAAATGGTTCATTCCGGTCACACCCTTGTCTAATAAAAAATGTAAGTATTTCCTCAGTCACCTCTAAGTTTGCATCTTCGAAACCATCTATAAGAACTTCCTCAGATTTATGAGGTCCTTTCTAATTAAAAGCTCAATTATTTTGACCACTAACATTTCATCCCTCCAAAACCTATATGTAAATTTTGCTCAAATTCATGGGGTTCATGTACCTCCAATGTGAAGTTTCCAACAAATGTACCATATAATTTATCTTTTTAAATATAAATACTATCTTATTTTTTTAAACATAAATGTTCAGAACCTAAAAGAAAACATGTCCAAATTCCTTATTCAATTTATCTTGGGTTTTTATTCAGAAACTGTTGTACTCTCCACTCGGTAAATTATTCATTCTGCAACCTGATGAGAAGTCATCTCCACCACATCCTCTCCTCCCTCCAGGAAGTGCTCTCTATGCATTAGACAAGACACAATGTGGATACTCTACAACTGTGCTAAATGCATTTCTCAATTGTCCGCATCCATTGGAGACTCTAAGCGATCCTACAGCCTATGGTTCAGAAGGTACAATCTTAAGAGATCATGACTCAAGCAATTATCTGAAGGCTGTGAATGGGGTTTTAAGGCAAAGTACAAAAAAGGTCATTCGCAGAGTAAGAAAAGAGAGAAATCTGTTGTGGCCACTACTTGCTTCACCGTCTCCACATTCATGGAATCATGAAAATAATTTAGAGAGCAGCAAATTAGTGACAAAAGAGGCAATCACTGTATGACGTAATTTTACAGGGGTTCTCCAAACATTATACAAAGTCGACTCTGAATCCAGGGTATAATGTTTCTTTTTTTTCTTTTAAATCTGTTTGTTGTATAGCTCTAACAATATGTAGACATGATAAACAAAACACTCTATGTGTGCATATTATTCAGAACTAACAAACACACAAAAACTCAAAGTGTTTCTTATAGAAAAGATACTGAAAATTTTGAGCAGAGATTTTCCTCCCTTTCGTAGCAATATCGACTCAGACTTGCTATTAAATCAAAAGACTTCTAAAAACTGTGAGGAGGTGCTAGGAAATAAAGTCGTTGGCAACAGGATAAGGATGCTATCATAGAATTAAATTCTGCATACAGAGTGATTCATGTGTTCGATCTTGCTAGCACAGATTATACAGTATAATTAAGAAACCTGAACCCATGAAGTCGATAGAAGTAGCTTAACAAAGTTATGGACAACAAAACATAAATATTTCCTAGTTTGACACTGCAGGCAGTTCATCAATCGCAAATGAATCAACCTTTTCTATCTCAATCATTCATGGAACCAGGTCATGCATATTATGTTAACTGGGTAATAACAGGCATTTTATTACAAATCATTGCCTTAAATGACAAGAATATGACAAAATAGTACAAAGTGTTAAAAAGCAATAAAAGAATGTTTTTAATAACATTAATGAGAAGAAACAACGTGCACATACTACAGAGAACATAGTCACGCCTGAATGATCTTGAAATAAAAAAATATATCATTTACCCTCCTCGGTCATCCTTTTCTGTATTTCATAGTGTAGGTTGGTCGCGTGCAAAATAATACTTGTTCTTTGTGTGGTGTTGTGAGACAGAATGGAGGAAAATAGATTAGTTTACAATAATAGAAAAACATAACATCATCAAGTGTTGGGAATGCAGAAATTGATAATGACATGCAGCAGAGTTGAGTAAGTGAAGAGGGAAAAATGGGGAGATCTGTAGAAAGCTTGCTTGAGCACAAGATAGACAAGGAAACAGAACTTTAAAAGTGTTCTCCTCACCTAATCACAAACGCTGAAATAGAACGCAGGAATTTAAATTTAAAACATGAATAAATGGAGAAATAGCAAAAAGATATTATCGCGTCTACTCCTTATATCATCTTGAATTTCCTGAAGTTGCATCTGCACAAAATCCTATAGTCTCCGGTCCTTCTATAGTGCAAAAATTACTACAAACAAAAAAAAAAAAAAAATGAAAAAAAATTCCTGAAGTTGGCATACTGCCACAAAATATCCTATGTTCGGTCCTTCTATAGTGCAAAAAATTTACTACAAACAAAAAAAAAAAAATGAAAAAAATGAAATTTCCCTCTTTACTCAATTAATGCAAAAAGAAAGAAAGGGTTTTTTAGTAATAAGTTAAAAAAAAAAAAAAAAATGAAAAAAAATGAAATTTCTCTTCATCAAATTAAATGCAAAAAGAAAGAAAGGGTTAGTAATAAAGTTGAACCTGGAGAAGCCATTGCCGGAGGAGGGAACCGAATCGGAGGAGTTTATGGGAGAAGAGCATCAAATTTGAGGACGAGAGGATCGTTTGGATAATAAGAAGAGACGTGCAGGACTTGCATGTGAGAGAATTGACGTGTTAGAAGTTTGGCTTAGAGAAAGAAGACGGTGGTGATAAGGGTAAAGAGAAGACGATGATGTTGTACCTGTAGTCTCCTCGCCTATCGTGTTTAATCTGAAATTGCACTGAAGACTCAAAATCCAAAGAATAAGGATATCAGATTCCACATTCGGTGATCAACTACAAGGTCCAGTAGAAAAGAGAAAGGTTATTGTTAGGTGTTCAGGCCTTTTTTTTTCTTTTTTTTTTTTTTCTGATTCTGCATTTGCAATGTACCTTTCATTTTTTGAATCCTTCTCTCTCTAATATTTTCATTGTCGTTTTAGGAGATCGTGGAAAGTTAAGGGCGCGGTTCAGCGGTTGAGGAAGTAGCGAACTTGGGTCAGTTAAAGACCGACCCTTCAAGTTTGGGCCGGATTTAGTTTTGAACTACTACTCGCTTTTGATATTGGCCCATTAGTCCATAATTAAATTTACAATTATTTACATACCAGCCATCAAATTATTAATTTTTTTTATTAATTAGTAGAATTATGTGGTTATTATTATCATTGGTGTTGGTATTTTTCTATCTACTTGTTTGTCTTCCCTTCCGGAACCCGGATTGTATAACCCTCTCTCTAATAAATTTCAATTTTAAAATCATTTTAGAGAAAGAAAAACCCTTAAAATGCACAATTTTTTACCTCTAACGTCAAGGCGTTGTTGTCTTTAGGCACTAGCGTCCAGAATCCCTAATTCTCTTGTCCAAACACCCCTCTATCTCTCTCTGTGTATCCACAAAACCTAATATTGATCATTCCCACCATCCCTTCCTCCTCTGCAACATTTCTTTAATGCTCTAATATTCCATACTGGCAAGCGCGCTTCTAATATTACTATTTTGATTCGCCGACACCTAACCATTACACCGGATTGAAGAGATTTCGCCTAGGGTTTTGATAATCTGACCCTTTTGCATTTTTTATCTCCAATTTAGTGTCTCTTTTAGGGTTTTTTAATATTTGATTTCTAGGGTTTTCATTTTTGTTCATAGTTTATAGATTTCATTCATTGCTTTTATACCATCTCCATCTTCTTACCGGATACTTCTAAATTTTTGGAAATTGAAGTTCCTTCCCTGAAAGGTTTCTGTACTTTTGTACTTTACATATCTGTTTTTGACCAGACCCAAAATTTTGACCGAAATTACACTACTTACCATTTGCTTTCTAATCGGAAAGTTTCTTTCTTAGGAAACGGATTCACCTGATAATCACAATCTGGAAATTAATGCAGTAGTAAATATTTGTATAATCCTTTTGGCTTTATGTTGTTGTATTGTACCTGCTTTCATGTTTTTATTATAAGTGCTCTTACTTTTTTTTGAGATAGGAGTTGGTTTTGGGTATTAGTTATTGACTAGCGTGTAAGAGAAGGGGGTAAAGGGTCTAGGATTGCATGGGCGAGCATGAGAGGCTATTGCCAAACGGCCTATTGCCTAATGAAGCGGCCTCTGTGATCCGAGTACTTGACTCGGAACGATGGTTGAAGGCGGAAGAGAGAACTGCAGAGCTCATTTCCTGCATTCAGCCAAACGAGCCCTCAGAAGAGCGCAGAAATGCTGTTGCAGATTATGTGCAGCGGCTCATCAAGAAGTGCTTTCACTGCGAGGTACATTGCATATGTCCATTTGTGCTGTCTAGCTTATGTACTAATTTTTACTTAACGTGTGGCTTTTTGCGTTTGGATAGTATCATCATAAGTGGAGATGATTGCCTCAGTCCAATTATTGGAAGTAAGGAGATAGAACATAATCTCATCTCTAAGCAAGGATTATTGAAATGGAGATGTAATCGGTGTGGGTCACATTTGCAAGCCAAGGCAATGATCTAAAGTTTGAGTGAAGGGGAATTGAATATGATATACAATGAGTTTAACTTGACTATCGTCAAGTTGAAGGCAGTGAGGGAGTTGGTGGTTTAGCATTATCATTGTCCTATGGGGTGTATGCATATGTTGTAATTGAAACAAAAATGAATAGACTGGTTGAAGCCAAACTTGTGAATAATTGCAATGATAATAGTGATTTGAGAATTCATGTTATGGAAGTGAACAATGCTTTCAGTTATTACCTTGTTGCAGAATTGTATGAGTTCTTACATTGTTATTTATGCATTATTGTTGTTGTCTATAGGTGTTCACCTTTGGGTCTGTACCCCTTAAGACTTATTTGCCTGATGGGGACATTGACTTAACAGCTTTCAGTAAGAATCAAAATTTGAAAGAAACATGGGCTCATCAGGTTCGTGATACGCTGGAGAAAGAAGAGAAGAATGAGAATGCTGAATTCCGTGTGAAAGAGGTTCAGTACATCCAGGCAGAAGTAGGTCCCTTTTGTTACCCATTACTCTTTTGTTATTCTAATCATCTCCCTCTCCTCGCAATCTTCTTTCTTTTCTTGTTTTTTCTCCTTTAAGATATTTTTGCTATTGCCAATGTGACAAAGGTAAGCCAGGTGCTTGACTAGGTACCCTGGCAGGCAAGATGCTGCTAAAGTACCTCAACTAGTTCTTGGTTAGGTGACTTTCACTAAGGCAATGTATAGGCAAGCACATGAGCTGAGGCACTTGGTGCTTAGGTGCTCGAGGTGCTTGACTCATTCCTTTGATGCTTATTTTTAATCTAAGTTCTGAGTTATTAATTTCACTTATACATTGTGGACTAGAGAGGCAAACGTGGCAAAGCATGAGATATCTATTATAAAATGCTAAAGGTCCTTTCCTTAGATTCTATTAAGTCCAAGGTGTCTTTTTACAATTTTAGGTAGGAGGAGGAATCAGTAAGAATAGGAAAATGATAATGATGTTTTGTATAAATTAATCAGTTTTTTGAAGCAATGCCTACTTTACTTGAGCAAATGCCTTAGGTGACAAGGGTCCTGGTGCTTTAAGGGCTCTTTTTTCTTTGGATGGTTATTGATGTTGAAAATGGAGTGGCACTAAGCCGTGTAATATTTTGTCCAACTATTCTGGACTAGTAATCAGCGGGATTGGTTAATATTCCAATTTCTGTAGTTGTATCACAATTGTCAGATATAGAAATTATTTTGTAGCTTTGTTAGGTGCTATTCACTCTAATGACAGGCCCCCAAAACCTGGTAGTTCAATTTGCGTGGAAAAAGGTTAAGATATCGGGGGAAAAGTAGATACAAATGTTTAAATTACAGACTGGAAGAATTTTATGATAAACAATAATGAAATTTCAGATTGTGAAAAATGAATAATAATGAAAACTGCATATATGAACTCTTTAACACATGCCTCCGGCAAAGCCTGTGATAGGATATGGATGAGTAATCCTAAAGATGAAGATCAGTTGACCTCATGGTTTGTTTAACAATTGCATTTTTAATGCTTTCTTCTTGTCAGAGTTAGTGCAGGGATTTCTGGTTGATATTTAGGATGGGATGATATATTGATAAGCAGTGATGATGAGTAGGGCCACATTTATTCTTATGCAGTTGGTTGACAATGAGATGCCATTACTTACCAAATGTCCTTCATAAGGATACTGGATGAAATCTTTGTCAACACTATTAATGGCATATAGGACTCTGTTTGCAACTTTTGTTTTACTATTTAATGCCCTAGAATTTTGTTTTCTACTTATTTATTTTGAATGCTGAGTTTTATTCCAAGTTTGGACAGTACATTTTAAAAATTGTGTTGTCGTAGTAGTACATTTCAAAAGGCGCTTTTTGCTGAAAGTAAATGGATTTTTTAATTTCAACGAAAGTTACTGACTGCCTTCATTATTTTGTTATACAATGCAATTCTTGATGGTATATTTGATGGCATTTTCATTTGAATGAACATACAGGTGAAGATAATAAAATGTCTTGTGGAAAATATTGTAGTAGACATATCGTTTAATCAGCTTGGTGGGCTATGCACTCTTTGTTTCCTCGAGGAGGTTAGTTGTGTGTTATGAACATCTGTACAGAATCTTGCTTTAGGAAACTGCAAATGGTAATGCAATTTGTAGTTTGAACTGATAAGGCTTTCTCCTTTGTAGGTTGACCATTTGATAAATCAAAATCATTTATTCAAGAAGAGCATTATATTGATAAAGGCTTGGTGTTATTATGAAAGTCGTATTTTGGGTGCTCACCATGGATTGATTTCGACTTATGCTCTGGAAACCTTAGTTCTCTACATATTTCATGTTTTCAACAATTCCTTTGCTGGACCTCTTGAGGTGTTTTTTCATATATTACTGTTTTACCTGATGTATTCCTTTTTTCATTCATCTGATTTTTCCCTGCATTTCTAGGTCCTGTACCGTTTTCTTGAGTTCTTCAGTAAGTTTGATTGGGACAATTTTTGTGTTAGCCTCTGGGGTCCTGTACCCATCCATTCACTTCCAGAAGTGACAGGTATACCTAATTGCTTCAAAATTTGTCAATATATATCACTTCCAGAGTGCACGGTATACCTAATTGCTTCAAAATGTCCAATATATATAATATATATATATATATATATATTTCATTGCTTCAAGTCGCTTGGATTTAATTGTGTCAGTGAGCAATTCTTAATGTGTTTACCAATTCAATATCAAGTGTTTCCTTCCAAAATGCTTTGCAGCGGAATCCCACCTCGAAAGGATGGTGGATGAATTACTGCTTAGCAAATTATTTCTTTGAGGCCTGCAGTGCAGTATAAATGCTGTTTATCCTGGTGGCCTGGAAAATCAGGGACAACCTTTTATATATTTCATTGCTTCAAGTCGCTTGGATTAATGTGTCAGTGAGCATTCTTAAGTGTTTACCAATTCAATATCAAGTGTTTCCTTCAAATGCTTTGCAGCGGAACCACCTCGAAAGGATGGTGGAGAATTACTGCTTAGCAAATTATTTCTTGAGGCCTGCAGTGCAGTATATGCTGTTTATCCTGGTGGCCTGGAAAATCAAGGGCAACCTTTCATGTCAAAGCACTTCAATGTTATAGATCCTTTGCGTGTAAACAACAACCTTGGACGTAGTGTTAGTAAAGGTATTTAAATAGAACTCTGTTAGTGTTAGTTTTTATTACTGCTGAAGTATCATTGAGATTCACGACTTGGTTTCATGTCTTTTCTATCTGCTGGCATTTTATGGCCTTTACAACAATATTATTGTACATCGTGATTTGGCCATCTTTCTTTACTGTATAGTCTAGGTTTTAATTTCATTATAATTGTGCACCTAATGCGATTGAAGAACACACTATCCATTTTGGTGTTTCTCTTGATACATGTTCTGAAATCCATTAGTTGTTGTGGGAGAAGGTGGGGTTTTGTTTGGTGGCTTATGCTTCCCGAGCTCTTAGAGGGGCTTACTGAATGTTATCCAACTTGCTTGGAGGGCATTACTCTTTTTAGCTTTGTTTTATATGTGCCAGTTGTTTGAGCCCATTGTGTACTTTCATTTCTTTCTTTCTCAATAATATTTTCTTATGTCAAAAAACAAATAGTGGTTGCAAATTAATAGCTTCAGAAATGAGTGATTATGGTCAGAAGCTGCTGCAAGTTGGTCTTGAATCTATTAAATAAAGCTGTACAGAGAAAATCTTTGCTTGGGAGAACTGTGGCCTGCTTTGGACAGCTTTGTGCTGATGCATCTGCTATTTAGAGCTTTTGTTGATTCCTCTTATAATTGATGTTCTCTTTTCTTTGTACTTGGCCGCACATCTCACTTGGTGTCATTTAGCCATTTGTTTGAAGCTGTCTAGCAATAGCAGGATGATTTATGAAAATTTTTAATATATGGGATAATGATATTGTGGATACTATTTATTTATTAATTTATTTTATTTAACTAGAAGATTTACTGTAAAGTACCAATGCACATTTCTAGAGACTGAATTTGCTATGATGAATTGAGATACTATTGTAAGTGTTTTACTTGTCATGTGAATAATGAATGGGCAAATGACTGTTATAATTAAAAAAAAAAAGTCATGTGCCTCTCATGTGGCACTCCCGTGAAAGGTTCTAAGAGATGAAATTTGAAAAAAATTTATAATTCCGCATTAAGTTTAAATCAAAATTATCTTCATCTCAAGTCAACCAAAAAACTTCATAATAGAAAAATAAAAAATTTTGGATGTAGTGTCTGAAGAGAGAAAGAGCGATAGCAAGAGAAATAAGAGAAAGGTTGGGGAGAGTGAGAGAATAGTGTTGGTAGGTTCTGTGAGCGGAGAAGCGAGTTGTTTTAGAAGTATTCCACATCAGCTGATTATTGTTGAATTTTTTATGCAGACATCCAATTCTTCTGTTAATGTTTATTCCTTTAATATGCTGATTCTTTTTCCTAACAAATCCTTTTGCATAGTTAGTAACTTTATACTCTTTAAATAATACATATTTTTTCCAGGTAATTTCTTTAGGATACGTAGTGCATTTGCATTTGGCGCTAAAAGGCTTGCAAGGTTACTTGATTGCCCAAAGGAAGACATATTTTTTGAAGTAAATCAGTTCTTTTTGAACACCTGGGACAGACATGGTACTGGTCAGCGTCCTGATGCACCAAGGAATGATTTGTGGCGCTTGAGATTGTCAACTCCTGACCTCTCTCATGGGTCTGATAATATCAGGAACAATTCAAACAGCAAAATTTCTGGCCATGAAGCTCAAGTTGATGGGGCACACAGGTCGCGTGGTGCTCCCTCTCAGCATGGTAATCATCTCTTAGAAAGCTCATCCAGAAGTACTGAAGTTTCTGTAGTTTCTCGTAGTCAAAGTCAAAAGTCTTATATTAACCCAAACAACACAAGGACAACTGATCAATCTAGAAGGGGAAGCAGTTATAATCATGGTGTACAAGGCCCACATGCAGAGAAAAACCAAAGAAGTTCTAAACCTGATAACTTGGTTGGTGATATTCAGGGAAGATATCTTTTTGCAAGGACGCGCTCTAGTCCCGAGCTCACAGAGACTTATGGTGAAGTTTCTTCACAAGTAAAGCGTAACAGAGCCCAAGAAACTGGAAAAGGCCAGATCTCCTCGGCTAGGCTAGATAACAGCAGGTGGAAGAACCTGGAATCTGATAATTTGGGAAGCCATGATAATCGATCTTTAACTGATGATCCTTCATCCATTAGACATGCCTCATCTCGTCAGAGCCTTGATGTTGTTGCAGATTCAAACAGTTACCATGATGAGTCAGGCATGGGTGTTGCTGGTGAAGAATTTGCATCTGGCCTTGGGACTCAGGGGATGCATCAGGAAGAACAAGATTTTGTGAACATAATGGCATCTTCTTCAGGTCTTGGTTTTAATGGACCGGTTCATCTTCCACTGAATTTGGCATCAAGTCACATCCCTCTTTCAATCTCACCTTCTGTTATAGCTTCAATGGGGTATGGCCCACAAAGAAATTTGGGTGGAATGGTACCCACAAATATTCCCATGATGGATCATCCTTGGGGCACAAATATGCAACTTCCTCAGGGCTTAGTTTCTTCACCACTGACCCATTATTTTCCTGGCATAGGATTGTCTTCAAATACTGATGATTCAGTCGAACCTGGTAATGAGAATTTTGGTTCCATAGAAATGAACCCAGCAGAGGCTGATCATGATTTCTGGCATGAGCCAGATAGGGGCTCCACCAGTGGATTTGATCTGGACAATGGAAGCTTTGAAATTCATCAGTTGGATGATAACCAGCAGTCCACTTCAGCTAGTTATAACTTTGTTCCTTCATCTCGAATGAGTGCCTCTGTTATCTCTTCAAGAGTTCAGCAGAAGTCTAGTAAAGACACTCGAGGATCAATGAGGGAAGATCATGTAGATACTTCCCCTTATCAAGAAAACAAAGGTACTGAAGTTTATTTTGATGACAGAATTGCTGGTTCAAGGTCCTTCCCTACTGTGAATACTAGCTCTTTGAGAAGCAAAACCTCTTCTGAGAGTTCGTGGGATGGATCACCTGCTAAGGCATCAAAATCGACAAGGGAAAAAAGAAATAGGAAAGCAACAGCTTCCACAGTGCCATCTGCTGGTTATGGGAAAGGTAAGAATGTCTCTGAACATCCGTCAAATCAGGCAGAAGATGAGAACAAAGAGTGGAATCCAGTATCCGCCATGGGGCCTGAAATGACAGAAAGAAGCGTAGGACCTCATTCTGCTGCTGTGCATGTTCCAAGGCATCAAATTCCTGGATATGAAACAGCACAGACAAGTGTATCTGAGTCATTGATACCTATTGCTCCAATGATCTTAGGTTCTGGTTCAAGACAAAGACCTGCTGATAATTCGGGGGTTCTTCCTTTTACATTTTATGCTACAGGGCCACCAGTTCCATTTTTTACTATGGTTCCAGTTTACAACTTTCCTACTGAGACAGGAGCTTCTGATGCATCAACAAGCCAATTTAATGTAGAGGAAGTTGTAGATAACAGTGATTCTGGTCAGAATTTTGATTCTTCTGACGGACTTGATCAATCTGAGGTGTTAAGTACTTCTGATTCTATGAGAAGGGTTGCTTCAGTTGAGCCGTTGGAGCACAAATCTGACATTCTTAATAGTGATTTTGCCAGCCACTGGCAAAACTTGCAATATGGACGTTTTTGCCAAAACTCACGGTATCCTGGAACTTTAGCTTATTCTTCGCCTCTTGTGGTGCCACCTGTATATTTACAGGGCCGTTTTCCATGGGATGGTCCTGGTAGACCTCTTTCAAACAATATGAATCTTTTCACTCAGCTTATGAGTTATGGACCACGTCTTGTTCCTGTTGCTCCTCTACAATCGATTTCTAATAGACCTGGGGTTGGTTACCAACATTATGTTGATGAACTGCCAAGATATCGTAGTGGGACTGGTACCTACCTGCCAAATCCAGTAAGATACTTTTCTGCATCAATGTTTTCCTTTGTCATTTTTATGTTTTTATTAGTTTTGCACTTGAACATTTTACTCCTATTCAGTTTGAAAGAGTTTCATCTGTTTTTTAATGTCTTTTTACTGTCTAACATGTTTAACATCCATGTTTACAGTTTTCTCACCACACGCTTGACTTCTGCACTCGAACATCTTGATTTGTAATAGCATCTTATTTTACTGTTTAGATTATTTGACATGCATGATTTCACATTTCTTACAACACTGTTTACTTCTCCACTTGTTATAGTTGAATGGTTGTACGATCTTTCATTGTGACATGCTCAGCTGCTTGTGTTACTAGGTTTAGTTTACTGGATGGATGATAACTGGATACTGGTTAAATATTGCAGGCAAAAGAAATATGCCTAACTATTTAGAGTTCACTCGATATAGGCCAATGTATAAGGAAAAGTATACCACTTAAGCCTTTCACATCTCTCTTTCACTTCTCTGTATACTGTCCTGTTGAAAAGTATATAGCTTGTTTTAGTCTGTTAGTTATTCTCGGGAATTTACTACTCAGGCCTCATACCTGCAATATTTTGGTTGTCCAAACCTATACCATTTGATTGGAGAATAGCCCTCATGAAAAAGAACAAAAATAGAACTGGAATAAATGAAAATTAGAAAATCTTCAGCGGTTCTGGAGAGCAGGCGGCATGTCTAGAGGGGCTTATCATTAACTAATTGATGCATCCTTTTCAAATGATTATGTTATACACACACAAGTCACCTATACACAAACAAGAAGTTTTATGGTCTCTTAAATTGATCAGCACATTGGTTTGTTAAACTATAAACATGTCTGCTCTGTGTCTGTTGGTGCCATTATTGATGTACAGTCCTTGAAGTTTCGGGATTTTTGTGTTCCCTCATCTATTGCCGCTAAAAAGAATTTGAAGATTCATTACTTTACTGAATACCTTTTTTATGACCTTCGTCGATTTCTTTGTCACAATTAATTTCGGATTTGTTTTAGAAGGTATTGGTTCGAGACCGGCATTCTACAACTAGCAGAAAGGGAAATTACAGTTATGATAGAAGTGACCACCATGGTGATAGGGAGGGGAATTGGAATGTGAATTCAAAGCCTCGAGCTGCTGGGCGTAGCCACAATCGTAACCAGGCTGAGAAGTCAAGCTCAAGGCATGATCGGTTGGCAGCAAATGAGAGTCGAACTGATAGGACATGGGGCTCACATAGACATGATAATTTCCCTTCATACCAGTCTCAGAACAGTCCAATCCGTTCTAGCCCTTCACAGAGTGGTCCTGCCAATTTGGCATATGGCATGTACCCACTACAATCCATGAGTCCCAGTGGAGTTTCATCAAATGGTTCTACCTTTCCACCTGTCCTAATGCTATATCCTTATGATCATACTGCTGGTTTTGGTTCTCCTGCAGAACAGCTTGAGTTTGGATCTCTTGGGCCTGTGGGTTTCTCAGGTGTAAATGAGGTACCACATCTAAATGAGGCAACTCGATCAAGTGGGGCATTTGAGGACCAAAGATTTCACCATAGCTCTGCCCAACGATCTTCACCAGATCAGCCTTCTTCGCCTCATCTTCAGAGGTAGTCATCATTCTGTTTGTTAAGTGCAAGGTTTCTGAGTGGCAGGGGGCGAAGTTGCTTATGGATAAGTGGCAGTGTTTTAGAATTATAGTACTGAGGTAGTTCTACAATAATAATTCATTTCTGCCTTAAGATTACAAATTACTTAATTAAGACAATATGCTTATAGGTGCTATAATTCTATGTTCTGATCTGCTGTTACAGCATATAGTAGTACCATATATTAGTTGTTTATTATTTTACTGGAACTGTTTTGTGATGTTTTTGATTTATTATCTTAACAGGGGCATTTGATTTTATTGCCAGATCAGTGGCTCAAAGGAATTATCAGTTGAAAGACGAGGATTTCCCACCTCTTGCATTTCTGAACCAAGCAGTAAATGATGGGAGAAACTATGACGAGAAACCACCTAATTCCTACGAGGCCCTCGTGGTCTCACCTCATTCATAAAATGGGATAACTTGTGGGACACCTCGTACTTGTTAGATGGCCTCTGGTTCTGCTGGCTTCGGCTTGTTTGTACACTATATAAATCATCTTCTAACCTGCCCTTTTTACGTGGATGTAGCAGATTGGAGGTAAAGGGGGTGGACGCAGGACTCGGTTTTTAGTTTTTAATTAGGGCTCAAACACATTGTAACTCCACTGATGTAGAAGCTTGCAGGTTTAGAATCTAGGATTTTACAATGTTATAAGTTTCTTTTCAGGATTTTGTTACCCACGGTCAAGCTGTATTACTGATTTTGATGCACAAGCTCAATCGAGAGCTGCTTTTATATACTCTTGCTTAAAAGTTAAAAAGGTCAACATTGTAGCAGTGCGCTCGCCAAAGATAGATGGAAAAAGATTTTTCTGGTTTCATTCATAGCTGGAGAGGGGGTTTGCTCTGTTTTTCTCTGTTTTTCTTTTCTCGCTACTCGTGATAGTTTAGATGATGCTAAGTCCGGCCATTGGAGGTTGCGAGTGAATTTGCAGTATTAATTCAGGTCTTATATCTCAAAAAATGATTGAATAAATGCACTCTAAATTATTTTTACTTTGACTCTTTAAATATTTTAATTAATAAAATGTTATTTATTGAATATTTCAATTTCTAAAATTATTTTTATTGAGCATTGCAATTTCTGAAATTATATCAATTTAATAACTAGTAAATTGTCAAAAATGTGAAAATTATTATACATGTTAAATTAATATTTTACTGTTGGTGTACCAGTGCAATGTTATTATCAAATTTGTAATTTGAAGTGGAATAAATCATCCATAAAGTTTGCATGTGTTTTGGATTGAGGGTAGAGAAAAAAAAAAAAAAATCCGATCACTGAAAAATAAAATCTATTGCTCCATGAAGTTAAATGTTCCAAGGGCATATCGGATGTAGTGTACTCTTCTTACCTCTTATAAGTTCGATCCAATAGAACTCATTATTCTTTTTTTTTTTTTTTTTTTTTTTTTTTACTGGTTGGTGTACCAGTGGCCGTTATGTTATTATTCAAATTTGTAATTTGGAAGTGGGAATAAAGTCATCCAGTTAAAGTTTGCATGTGTTTTGGGATTTTTGAGGGTAGAGAAAAAAAAAAAAAATTCCGATCACTGGAAAAATAAAATCTATTGCTCCATGAAGTTAAATGTTCAAGGGCATATCGGATGGTAGTGTACTCTTCTTCACCTCCTTATAAGTTCGATCCAATAGAACTCATTATTCTTTTTTTTTTTTTTTTTTTTTTTTGAAAGTTTGTCAATCGTTTAAAATACTTTTTACCCAAATTTGAAAGTTCCTTTTTTTTTTTTTTTTAATGGGTTTTTTTTTTTTTTTTTTTTTTTTTGAAAGTGTCATCGTTTAAAATACTTTTACCAATTTGAAAGTTCCTTTTTTTTTTTTTTAATGGAGGTAAAGTTGGAAAACACGTTCATTTAATTTCAATTATTCTATACAATAAAATTCAAAGGACAAAAAATTCACTTTAAAACTTATTACAAGGATAAATCTCACAAACAATTAAATTAATGCTATTAAATGAATAAAATTGAATTCTTCCATTTAAATTGTTCAAATTAAAAATTAAAGAACAGGGAGCCTAAAACTGGAACTTAGTTTGACCTTGCAAGAGTCGTATCTTGAACAAAGGTTAGCAGGTCGTATCAGGTTCTCTTCAAACTTTTGACAATTTAGGAATTTACATTTAAAACACCTAAAAAAAATTAGGAACTTTCACATACTTAGCAAATAAGCAAATTCAAACTCATAAGGAAATTGCTCAACAATTTGCTAGCTATGTTTACCTACAGCGCGTTTAGTTGCCCAAACTACTTGGAGCGCAAACCAGGGATATTCCTGAGGCCCATCTTGCCAAGAACAAGCTTGGGTATGGCAGGAGGGTTGTCAAGTCCCATACTTCGGCTGAACTCATTAGCGAGCTCCACAAGCCTGTATTTGTCCCTACCCACCAGCTTGCTGGAATTGTAATAACCTAACCAGGCTTGATATGCTGCTTCTTTACTCTTCATCTCCACACGAGACAGGGCCCGTTCCACCTGTTCAGTAATGTTTAATTGCAGAGATTCAGAAATTGCTCGAGAAAAAAATTGCAACCCTTTTATTTTTTTAACGTTAATGCAGTTAACTAACAGCAACTTGCGTTCTGAAAACAGGACAAGGGTACCTTTTTCTTTGTCTCTGGGTCCACTGAAGGGACTGAAGCTTTCGTGATCGGTAATTCCTTGATGGTGGATAAGAATGATTCTTCCCAGGGTGCGAGTAGCAAGATGCCTTGTCCTTCTTTACCTTTCCGACCGGTTCTACCAAGTCGATGGATGTACTGTTCTCTATCAGATGGCAAGCCCACCTGGGGTTGCAACAGAGATTTCATTTCTTAATTAAAATACTAATTAAAATATAAAAAGTTAACGTTTTAATGTCTGGAAAAAGCTTGAGAATTAAATGTACAAGAAAAGTTCGAACTAAACAAGATAGAGATCAAATCAATCTACTCCAATGCTTCAACTTCAATGATTGTGCATAGAGTGCTTAACACACTTGCAATTTTTTTCACCAAGGAAGGCCAAACATCTAAATTGCGTGTAAAAAAATGGAATAAAGAACCTGTATGACAAGAGTAACATCAGGATAATCAACTCCACGGGCAGACACGTCTGAAGTCACAAGAATAAGACCATTTGACTTGCGGAATTCATCAGAAACCTTGGTCCTGTAACTCTGGGACTTTCTGGAATGGATCTCTCTAACATTCAAGCTAAGTTCACCAAGAAGGTCAGCTACCATTCTTGTGACCATAGCAGTTGTACAAAATATAATAACCTACACAAACCAAGGGCTAAATGACATACAAAATTAATGGAGAAAATCTCAACAAAATCAGACACGGGTTTCTGGACATTAAAGCATACCTTAAAATCAATATTGTCTGCGATATGATCCTTCAGAAGGACATATAACAGGGGGAAATGCTTGTCTAATGGAGCAACCAGATGTGTCTGCCTGACCTGAAATGATCCAACAAATTAATATTGAGACATAAACGACCAGAATTACATAATAAATTTCACATTAAGTCCACCTGTGAATTAGTCTCCTCAGCTCCTTCTTCAACTGTATTGATGAATTTATGATCTCTTTTCAAAGCAAAGTGACAGATTTGACGAACCTTCAAATTGAACAACTTATTCAAAACTTCTATCCAGTTCTCACTAATGTTAAAGGCACACCAAAAGATAAAAAGAAACCTCTTCGGGAACTGTGGCAGAAAACAGAAGTGTTTGCCTTTGTTTTGGAATAGCAGCAATTATTTTCTCGATGTCTTTACGGAAGCCCATGTCTAGCAAACGATCAGCTTCATCAAGTACAAGGACTTTCACACCCATCAGCCTTGTTGCGAAACCTGCAGTATTCTCAGTATGGTCTCTAAGCCTTCCAGGTGTAGCAACAAGAATCTGTGAATTTCATACATGTGAGAAGTGTAGCAATATCCAACCTTAGATAATCCATTTTCTCGAGTCCTAATGCTTGAAAGTACTTTGCCTAGCACAAGGCGATTATAACTCATATTCTAATTGGTTAGTAACCTTGGATTGAAATTAATAGACTTTAAAGTGAATTTAAGTTTGAATTATTTTGCCCATCTCATCCTAGGAGGACATCTATGCTTTGCAACAGTTTGACAACATATCGAACAGGCAAAACCTGTAGATTGTTCCAACACTTTGTGCAAAGAAGCATCGAAAGGAGTCAAATGTACCGAATTTGATACTTGTTGAATGTTATCCATAAATATAAACTAACCTGGCAAGGGTTTGCTTGCATTTGCTTCTGCTCAAGAGCAAGTCTTGTACCTCCCATCACAACTTGAGCACCAATAGAAGGGTGGTACTTTAATAAGGTGTTTGCTTCTGCAGCAGCTTGACTTGCAAGTTCCCGAGTTGGGCATATAACAAGCACAAGTATTGGTGGCCGTTTTTGATCACGACTGATAGGAGGAGATTTGACAATTATTTCGATTGCTGGAAGCTGATTAGAGAGTCAATTTTAGTTAACAAAAGTTCAGGATCTTAGAAAAATCACATGACTAAGGCGATTCATGCCATTTCTTCTCTGGAGTGGAGGTAAGGTGATTCATTTCATGCCACGTTGGATGAGAAAAAAATATGCAATTTCACATGACTTGTTTTATCCAACTTAATCCAAATGCATAAGAGGGTCTATTCATGCTATTTAGGGCGGAAAACACCATTAGCAATTGACTATAGGAAAATAATCATAGAAGGAAACAATACGCATAAATATTATCCTCACATTTCAACAACTATGCATCAGTTCAACAATTACCTATATTCACAGACACTATAGTTATGAACAACTCTGTATTCAAATTACCAACTTTTTACCTTAAGAACAATTTTGCATTATAAGTGTACATAGCATTTAGAAAAACTTCTAGGTCCTTGATGCTACAGTTTGAAGGAATGGTCTTCCATTGATTAACAATGCCATCACACGCGAATGCATAATCAAATAAGGAATCTTACCAAAAATGCTACAGTTTTCCCAGTTCCAGTTTTAGCCTTAGCAAGAACATCCTTACCTGGCAAAAAAATCAAATATTAGCTATCTTGTTATGGACAATCAAACCAAATCATAGTAAAGGTAGCTAATGTGTGATTCAAGATTGAGCTGTAGGTGGGATATTTGTCATCTTGGCCCCAAACAGCTCACAAAGAGACGAAAGGATTCATATAGCTAATGTGCTGTTGAGCTGCTTGAAAGAAATATAAGAAAGTAATATAAAATGAAGGCAATTTGATCAATACCATGTAGTTTACGTAAAAAAAACACGACAAACTGCAATCCATGACAAACATACACAGGAACTAGACCATGTAGAAAAAAAATAAACCTTTGAGTATAACTGGAAGAGTGGCCTCCTGAACTACAGTCATTTTCTCATATCCTGCATCCTTGATTCCCTTTAATGACAATGGAGAAATTGAGCACTGATCAAATCTGCAGAAATTTTAGAGAAATTAAGTGTTCGCTGTTGACAAAAAGCTATAAGCATTAGAAAGAGAGAAAAATTATGTAATAACATACCTAGACTCGCTTAAATAAGAATTGAAATTTCCAGGGGAGCTTGGCCTATCTTTCCCGTCCAATCCAAACGAAGAAGATTCATTTATCTTTAATATATCATTATCATGATCATCTTCATCAAGATCATCACTCTCCTCCTCATCAGCCAAATCCTGAAGACGACCCATTAACTCCTTCCTCTCATCCCCATTATTGTCATCAATGTCCCTATCATCTTCCTCATCAACACAAAAACCCCTTTGTTCCCTTAACCCCTTCACATCTCTCCTAAACCCTGAATTCACCCCTCCATCTCCTCTCGTTCCATTCATTATGCCGGTATTACTAACTTTCTTTCGCTGAAAAGTGAATTTCTCCCGATCAATGTCATAGCGCTTGCTTACCCGTGAATTCCTCGAAAACGAATCAGCTTGACCTCGGGGTCTCCTCCTATCTGGCTGGCCAAACTCGTCCGAGATATCGTTCCTTCTTCTCTTCGTTGAAAAGCCATCTCTATCTCTACCTCTTTCCCTTCCTATTTCTCTATTTCTACCTTGGCCCCTGTCCCTATCTCTGCCGCTGCTGACTCTATCACGAGAGATATCAGAATCTGACTCGCCATCCGTGACTCGGCCACGGAAAGAGCTGGTACTCAACTCGCTGACCCAGTCACTGAGTTCAGCTTCATCTTCAATCAGACTCTTTGAAGCTCCCACATCTCCTCTGTCACGTTCGCCGCGTCTGAACTGGGAGCCTGACCCATGTCTGGGTCGAAATGGCCGAGTCGAGAATCGGCGAACACCTACCTGCGAATTGGGATAAGGGCCAAAACCCACGTATTTGAGTCTAAAGGGGAAGATCCGAGACAAAATGGGGACGCCCCGGGAGGATGTAACTGATAGGAGAGATTTCATGGGGGGAAGACGGGTGGCTGAAAAAGATGGGCCGAGAAAGCGGAGCTGAAGAGGGAGCTTAATGGACATAGCGCGACCTTCAGTAACCGTTCGCCGGCGGTGAATGCCGGGAATTCGCGCTGCGTAGTGAAAGAGAATCAGGGTTTAAGAGTGTTGATTTTTGAACCGTCCGATTGTGATAGGGTTTTAAGAGTATCGTAAGGAAACACCACCCCCTTAAAACGTATAGTGAATCTGCCGTTTTTATCCCATCTATCTATATATTTACATAATCCAGAAACCAAAAAAAAATCATTAAAAAACTGACTTGCATTTTGAGCAATTTTTCTTTTTTTTTATAAATTTTATTTAACTTTTAATAACTTTTGAGCATTGTTTTTCTTTTTTCACAGATGTCCTAATTTTTCATTTATTAATTAATTTTTTTCTCTTTGAAAATAAATTTTCTAGTATTGATAGATTTATAATTTTCCTTACTGGGACTTTGTATTTACTTAAGATAATTTATGGATTTGGTTTTTTTTAATTTTTTTATATTTCCTAATTATTTATGTATATTTTCCTTTACATTTCTATACATTACTTTTCTTTACAATCATCTTTTTTTTTTTTCTTAGTTTTCATAACAGTACAAAATTGAAGTAAAAATTTCTCCATTTAGTATTCTATTTTTCTAGAAATTTTTGAAAATTTCTCTTTTTTTTTATTACTATTTGACTGGATGCTGAGTTTCTTCTTAAAACTATATATATATATTTGGCCTAAATGTATTATAGATATCAAAATTTATTTCTGATTATGTATTATAGATATATATATATTCATTATGTATGAGTTCACGCATGCTCCAAATTAATTAAAATATATTTTTTTAATTATAACAAAATTATTTCTTATCATACTAAAGACAAAATAGTAATAAATAAATAAAAAATCATTAATTGTGAAACAACCCGAATTTTTATTTTCAAAATATTTTCCAATTAAATTTAATGAACCGACAGCCTGTAAATTTATTTAAATATTTTAATGCGAATACTGTGAGAAACCTTTTAATTTCAAAATATTTTCCAATCTAAATTTAATGAACCGACAGCCCTTGTAAATTTATTTAAATATTTTTAATGCGAATACTGTGAGAAACCGATTGACGATTGAAAAAGCCGAAAACCAATTGAAAACCAAAGATTTGGGCCGAATCGAACTGGTTTGACCCAAACCATCTAGAAAAATCTCTTGTTTTTTTTATTCTCCAACGCAAACCTCACCCCCTCACTCCCTCACCAGCGCTGCACCTTCACTCCACCGACACAGCCACCACGCCACCTCCTCCTCTCTTCTTCTTCTTCTTCTTCTTCTTCTTCATCTTCTCTTTTCTTCTTTTCTTTCTTTTCTTTCTTTTCCCTTCACTGCGTTTGCGTCCTTTTTTTGTATACAGTATCAGCATGCTATTATATTCAATATACATTATGATTTCAGCATGTCAGACCATACAGTCAACCCCACCACCTGCTCCACCACCAGATCGCACCATCGCCGCTACACTGGTCCTCTTCTGCCTTCGATCGAGCAAGGGCAGCACCACCACGAGCTCCACCTCTATCGCGCCGCCTCTGTCGCTCTCTCTGCCACCGCTAGTCGCCACCGCTTGACGCAGCACCTCCTGCGCGCGACTCCGGTGAGTGCTGCTGCCAGTTTTGGTCGATCCAGTGAATGCTCTTCTATTTCGTTCCATTGAGATTGGTTGAAGGTCAGTCGATTTGGTTTCGTCACCGACCAAGCAAACTCCGGCAATAATATTTTGTTTGGGTATAAATTAATTTTTATTAATTGTGGTTAATTAATTTAATTTTAGTAATCTTGGTTGGTTAATTTAATTTTAGTAATTTTGGTTAGTTAAATAAATTTAATTGCTAATTCTCAGAATTTATTTTAGTAATTTAGGTATAATTTAACTTAGTAATTTTAGTTAATTAAATTAATTTTAGTAATCTTGATTAGTTAATTTAATTTAGCAATTTTGATTAATTAAATTTAATTCTAATATTACATAAAGTTATTAGGAAATTTTGAGAACAATAAAACTTATGGAATTAAAGAAAAATTTATGAATTAATGATGATATAGAGAATATGGAGGATGGATTAATTGACTGAATTGATTGCTCGATAGATGGGCCGTGAGAATTTGATAGTTGACGGATTGAGTTAATTGGTGGATAGTTCAATTTTTAAGGGAGGTGTCGCCGAAATTTCGGTAAAAATTGGATTATTTTTAGAACTTTAATAGATAGTACGAATAAAATTATTATCGTTAGTAATATTATATTATCAATCATTTTATTCTTATTAATAATATTATTATTATTAATATTAGTATTCTTATTAGTATTATTATAAAATATTACTTAACTTTTTATTTAAAGTTGATAAATTAGAATACATATATAAATTAGAAAATCATATATATATATATAGTTTAATTTAATAAAAAAAACTAATAAACGAATGTGAAATATAAATTTTTTTTTGAAATTAGATTCTTACTTTAGAATTTTTCTTGTTTATTTTAGAGGATTATAAAATTCAAAAAATGCGACGGACAAAGGCTGGAAGCATGTGGCCTAGAAAAGGCATGTTCCTTTTAGAGGACAATAAGAACTGTGAGTAGCTGTTAGACTAACTAGTATCATCCGCTGCATTCATGCATTCACGGCCTAAATGTTATCATGCATTAATTTTGTTGAATTGCCATATACTGTGCCTGCACTATTTGTTTTGATATAAAAATTGCTTGATTATCTGTGATGTTGATATTGTTGTGCTTGTTTGTGTGGAATTGGGCATGAAGTGGGTACCATGGCGTTCGCTGCACGATACGCTCTCATGTTATATGGATCCTGATTCTGATTTCTGTTAGCACGGGTAATGGGAGATTCGGCGCCCCGTGTGCCCTACTGTTCTGATCTGTATGATATGGAAAACCACAGGTTGGCTTCTTTATTGGGCGCAACACTTTGATAATCTAGATTTGATCGCAGCCCGCAGGGTGGCCTCCTGTTGTGAGCGCCTGATGATCTAGATTTGATGGAGACGACCGGGTTGCCTCTGTTAATAAAAAAAAAAAAAAAAAAAAAGAGAGAGAGACTGGAAATATGAGAGGAACTTGGTTGTGTGAGGATTAAACCGGTCGGCCAGAATGGGGAATTGGCTCCTGGTCGACATGTGAAGAGGATGGGCCTGTGGGAGGACGGCTTCATCGGGTTTCGTGACTTCCACTGACTAATTTCCACGTGATGTGATTTATATGAAGGTGGAATTAATATTTGTGGGATTGCTGTTGTATTGCCATTTTTGTGTCCCAGAACTGCATGATCAACATAACTTTAACGGGTGACCCACATAAAATTATTTTAAGCATTTTTATGATTGTGTGGTTTTTGTGAGGGGTGAGAGGGTTATCTAATTCTACTCACTGAGTTTAATACTCACCCCCCTCCAACCCTCCCCAGGTAATAGATGGAAAGAAGAATCGTGGAGACTAATTGATTGAACGAGATATGGATCGATAGGAGTAATAATCATTGTATTAAATATGTAAATGCAAAGAATAGTGAATTATGGAGTAGAGTTTCGCAATTGTATTTCAAATGAGTTGTAAATGAATAAATAAAGTATAAACATTTATTATTTGGATATATTTGTGAAATAAATTATTGGGCTTGAATCCACAATTATGAATAGCATATGAGTTTTAAATAATTTAGGCTTACTACTTACTACGGGCTTTTTAAATAATTTAGGCTTACTACGGGCTTCGGGGGCCTTAAGCCCATCCAGGTCCTAGTGCCGGTCCGGCCCACGAAAATGGGTCGTGACAAATTGATTTGGTGTACAAAGTGTAGGCGTGGAATGCAAGTAGTGGGTATTTCAAAATTTGTACTATCTATAAACAAACATGCTTTATAACTTGGATACTTATGTTTATCCTAAATTTGTTTAAAATTTATTTGAAAATACTCATACTAATTCAAACTCGTTTAAATTTTAATACTTAACTCGTTCCGCACATATTTAGCTAATACACAAACGCAGTTTAAATGAGTTAGGACAGATAATGTATCCATAAAAACTTTTATTTACGTGTATAATATATCATCGAGTCACATTATATATAAAATAAAACTAGATAAAAAATTAAAATATATTTCAAATTCATAAACTAAGAAATTATAAAAATAAATTAAGTGATCTTAATAACATTCACATATAAATTAAAAGTTCCTTATAATAAAAAAAACATCCATTTCTAAATTAAAAATCATTATAATATCATCAAGATATAAAGTAAAAATACATTATAAAATAACACAATAATCATCCAATTCATTGTATACATAATGTATGATCCATGCATATAATTCTTTCATTTTATTATTCCTAATTAGATTATTGAATGCATTTATCTAGGGATCAACTTGTTCTCCACTTGAATAAATGTATTAAGAAGGACATGACTTCATTTGGATCTCGCAAAGAATATGTTGCCTTTGTCTCTTTTGGAATTGAAGAAACGATAATGGGATATCCTCTGCCCATCTCTCTTATTACCTGATTAAACAAAAACATTCACAAACCAAAATAATCATAAGTTAAAAAAAATTTATTTTAATAAAAAAATCTTGAAAATGATCAATTACTTCCACCTTAAAAGCATCCTCATCTGTTCGATCATCTCCGACGTACATTGGAAGGAAATCATCAGAGACATTAAAGCCAAGATTTTGAATTAAATATTGCAGAGCACGACCCTTGTCCCAATCAATTCGAGGTCGTATTTCTATAATCTATTCACGGTATAAAGTTTGCTAATTGTTAATAAATAAATAAATAATTATCGTAATATAATATATACATATATGCTTGTATATATACACCACCTTTTTACCGCCGGTTGTGTAAAGATTTGGGTAATTTTCCCTTACTGATTCCACCAACTCTTTAAGAGAATGAACATCCTGCTTTGATGAAGAAAATAATCTACTGTTTTGAATATTGTTTTGGTAAATAAATGTACTTTTAACTGTTAAGTCGTTGTCTTAATTACATAATTTTGATTAATTACCTCTACATTTACACGTCGGAAATGCACAGAGATGCAAAACTTATTGTCTTCAATTGCAGCACCTTTGATTATCTTGATCTTTTCTTCCAACACTTTCTTTATCTACAACAAAAACTAAAAACAATTATATACGTAAAACACATAAAAGAGAGAGAGAGAGAGAGAGAGAGAGAGAGAGAGAGAAGAAGAAGAAGAAGAAGAAGAAGAAGAAGAAGAAGATTCTGACATTTACAGCAATTAATAAATATAAATAAATTCAAAGTTTAGAAACAAATTTTACCTTCTTAATTGTGGGCAAGAATTTTTCTGCTTGTAGAAAATCTCCATTACCCTAAAGAGAATAAAATAATCTTTAGATGTAAAAATTAATTATTAATTATATTTATACGTGTAGAAGTATTAGTACACTCTCAATTACAACAATAACAACCCCATCATCAACAGTCAATATGTCCATCCCATGACTTCCAGCATAGGTTATATTCTTCAGTTTCACGAATCCTTCCACCTGCAATTGGAAAATATTAATTCCCAAAAACTCTTACATATTAGCCAATATTGATTCATTAACCGGACTGCTATGCAGGATTTATTAACCTTGTTGCGGCTCCTTCCACTTACAATGGCAGTTGGGAAGACACGAGCCACTTTCTGGAGAGCTGAGCGCATCTGCAATTTATAGCATTTCATATTAGTTGAGAGGATTTAAATTTGTAGAGTTTTTTTTTTTTTTTTTTTTTTTTTTTTTTTTTTTTTTTTTTTTTTTTTTTTTTTTTTGTCATAGCAAAATTAAAAGTAAAAATTAACCTCCTCCGCATGAGAGCTCGAGCAGGCATCATCAAACTATTGGTGTAAGAGTTCCCATCATAATCCCAAAAATAAAACCAAGTGTTTTCCTTTTTTTTTTTTTTTTTTTTTTTTTTTTTTTTTTTTTTTTTTGTCATAGCAAAATTAAAGGTAAATTACCTCCTCAGACATGAGAGCTCGAGCAGGATCATCAACTATTGGTGTAAGAGTTCCATCATAATCCAAAAATAAAACCAAGTGTTTTCCTTGAGCTGGTTTCATCATTCTTTCAAATGATTCCAAGGCTGAAGGATGTTTCTTCTATGTTTTTACGATGACAAAAAAAAAAAAATGTATATACTTATATCTAATGAGAAAAATTAATAGAATTTCCCATATATAATTACCACTTACCAGCCATGCTTTGTATTCGTTAGAACCCATCGAAATTAACCCCAGCCCAAGCCGATTTTAACCCTGTGTGCATTGTGCAACAAGCAGTACTCCAGTTGGGTTCAGTTGACCGCTAATAGAATCATTTCATATTTATCCAAATTCATACCATAGATTTACATTAATTACCAGGATTTAAACAAGCATATTGATAAACTAGCAATATAAAAATGGTTATATATATGATTCAAAATGAGCTCCTTTGATTTTTCTAATTTGACTTTCTCACATATTAAGAAAAATATAGTTTATATAAATAGTTAAATTATAATTTTTGTTTAATTTTTCTTATATTAACTATGAAATTCTCAATGTCATTTCTTTTACAAAATTATTCTAGAAAATAATCAAAATTTAATTTTTAAATGGGAGAATTAAGGGAATTAAAAAATATTCAAAGTTATAGGATCGTCTAGACAATTTTCTACCTCATATGCTGAGACTCAGCAGTTAATTCTTTTGGTTATTTTTTATAATTTTTTAAAAAAACCATGGATGAATTGACTTGACCTATAAATCGATTTCATACATCAGATATAGAAATATACTTTTCTTTAATCTCGAGCTGAAGAAGAAAAAAACATTGCATGTTAGCCTGAAAAAAAAAATTCCAACAATGCAAGCAACAAAACGGTCCGTCGTATTTAATTTCCAAAATCAAAACAGTATTAGTTCGTTTCTTTCTTGCTTCGTCCTTCTTTACTGAAAAGCATATTTGAAAATTAAATTAAATTTTTCTTCCAGATGAAGTTAAAGGGCGAAACCAATACCAAAAAAGATGTGCACTGAAAGCGTACCTTGGGCGATGAAGTTAATAGCAGTAACTACCGGGGAATGCTTTGAGAGAGATAATAGACGTGGATTGCAGGCTTTTATTTATGGACGTGAAGGACAATATCGGTAGTCAAAAGATCCTGTTAAGTGGCAAAAACACTAACACATATGAAAAAGTGGATACTCTATGTACCTTTAAAAATATTTAAGAGATTATTATTGCCAAATATTTTGAAATTTTATTCTTAAATATAGTCGTTTATGACAGATTTTGAGTTATTATTGTTACAATTATGATGATTTTTCTATAATATTTTATTATTTGGACAGTTATGTAAAAAAAAATATAGATCTCTTCTTTATTAATATTGATTGATTAACTAATTTTCAATATTTTAATCCAACAATAAAAAATAAGTAATCATTATTTCATGTATTGAATTTTTAATTTGTACCTACTAACATAAATTGTTTAATTTTAATTTTATTATAATTACTATTATTTATTTTTAAATAGAAAATCATTATTTTATTATTATTATTACTAGGGAGTGAATATTTTCTTGTTCTATAATAAAATTAAATTCTATAAATTATTATGATTCATTTTTTAATTTATAAATATTTTAATTCAAATTTTATAGAAAATCAAACTGGAGTAAATATTTTATCTAATTATCAATTGTTTTTATAAATTTATTAACAATTGTGTTCAACTGTTTTTCTTTTATGGAAAATTAAAATAACAATGAGGATCATTCTTGGTAAACTGATAAAAAACTATAAATTAAATAACTAGCCTCTGTAAAGAAAGCAACATATATAATATGATTTTGCTTTCAAAAATAAGTTGCGAAAAAATATTTTCCCAAAATAAGTTATTGGCCGGAGATAATTGGAGCCTTAGACTTACTTTGCACTTGTGAAATGAAAAGTATCACTATTTAATGGATAATTGGCTATAATCGTAACATTATGCTTGTAGTAAATTTATGGATAATTAATTGATATAACCGATTTTTTTATTCACGGTCGTTTAAGTACATGTTGATTTTTCTATATTTGATTGCAATATATATCAATTACTTTTGTAATAAATTTAGTTCTCTTAATCTATGTTGGTTGCAACATTTCTCATTTACTTCAATAAGAAATTTAGTATTTTTTTTAAATAATTAATATTTATGGACATACTAATTAAGAAATAAAGATAAAAATAAAAAAAATATATATACTACTCTCTTAATTTTGTAAACTAAGATAAAAAGAAGTTTTTTAAAAGCAACACTTAATTGGAAAATCGGCACTTTTTAGAATTACAACATATGTCCAGTGGCCAACATGTATATTTTAATATAGTGGTCTAAGTTCCCTTTCAAGAACCAAATATGTCTGTTGAACTCCAACATAATGCTATGAATTATACAAAAAATATCTATTTTATAAGTAATTACAGCAACATTCTGTTTATTACAAGGATATGATGTTGACTTCCACATTATCAAGTTTTAAATTAAATTAACATATCGTGTTAACTCATAATCATTCAGTGCTCCTAACTTTTAATTTATATATTTTCTAAAAAATTAAAACTTTTGATTTGGAACTTTTGAATCACATATAATAAATGCACTTTAACTGTTACATGTTGACACGTGGATCTCATTAGGCGTATATTTTTTGTTAACTTCGAGCTTCCTATAATGTGCCTGTTTGTACTTTGTACTATAAGTAGACACGTCCATTGGATTAGAAGTAGAAAGAATCATAAAAAAAATACTAGTAAAGTATTAATTGATAAAATAAATAAGTATTAAAAAAAGATGATTTAAATATAAATTTATTGTCAAGTTTTACATGGAACGCAAATAAAACCCGGAAAAAGCGAAAAAGACCGGACCAAACCTATAATGAAACAATTCTCTCAATCAAACCCATATGAGATGGGCACCCCGCACCCAACAGACCAAGTAAAAAAAGAAGAAGGACACGGGTTATTGGGCCAAAGTCCATAAACGGGTAGCCCATTGAGTGAAATTTGGGTTTAGATTAAATAACTTGAAATTGTTGATATTTTTTGACACCTTTTGCATAAAATTGTTGAAGAAGGTCACATGGACCCATACCAATTCCATACTTGTTTGGACACTGGGAAAAAGAATTGATGAATGAAGGGAATTGAAAGTGGTCCTTCCAATAATTCCCGCACAAGTTCAATCAATAATTGGTCCATCCATTTGATCGGAGACCAGATTGCCTAACGGATTAAGGTCTGTAAGTTGTTTCATACTAAGGAGTAAGACATAGACACGTGACAACATCACTACTTCAATAGATGTCATTTTTTCTGATGACTGTATAATTGGTTTTTTAATTTTGCTTTTTTTCAAAACAAAAATGTTTAGTATGTTCAGTATAATTAATGTTTGAATGATAATTTCTTTAATAAGTCAATTAAAAAGATTTATGTTGAAATTAATTAACTGCAAGTAAAATTAACGGTCGACACTAAGAAGAAAAATCTACTAGTAATTAAAAAGATTAAAGTGATAATTAATATTTTAAAGTGGATGGGGCCAGTTGATAATTAATGTTGGCGTTGATTTATTGTTTTGTCTAAGAACAAGATTAGTGTGGGGCTTTTCAAATCCACCCAAAAAAGTCGCCATTAAGGGCCTTTTGGAGGCCACGAGACACCAATATAGTCTTCAAATAATCAATGCTTCATTTCATCGCCAATTTGTACTGTTCGTGGCGCGCAGTTCTCGCCCTTTCTTTTGCTTCGTGGGGCTCTTTTCCATATTCTCTCTCTTTTTTTTTTTTTTATTTCTAAATATTTATTTTAAAGTTTCTTTATAGCATATTTATAGTATTTGATTTCTCGGTCTAAAATAAAATTATTTTGAGCATCGAACATAAAGAAAAAGATGAAAGTGTTTTCAATCAATTAGGTGTGATTATCTTACTGTTGTGAGGGTGAGAGGTATTAAATTCGAATCCTCTGAGTCATATGAATTTTCACTTATACAAATGTTTTCATATATCAACAAAATTCTGAATTATCATATTTTTTAAATTTTTTAAAATTTGAGAAAATAATGAGTTATGGGTATATATATCACCGTATTTTTATTTAATAATATAAAAAAAAGGAATATATATGCCCCGCAGTCGACAATTGATATCTCCAGATATTAATTGCCACTGTAACAAACAACAAAGGGCTTTATCCATGTTTTCTTTTCTTTAGGGGATGAGAAGATGGTAATAGATAAAGAACGAGATCCGCGATGTAAAGTAGCATCTCATAATTCAAGTACAACACTGCAGTCTCCAACAAATCATAATAAAAAGATGTGGTTCATAGATGGTTGGTTATTGAGTCTGTGGGCAGAACAGTGAAGGTTGTTTGTTGGGTCGTTGGGATAGTTTATATTAGTCACTTTCCTGATTTATCTTGTCTTTGTTCTTATAATGGTTTTTTGTTTTGTTTTTTTTGTTTTTTTTTTTTTTGTTGAAATGATGGGCTTCTAATGCTGAGTTGGAAGTACTCACCGTTAATTCAACAGTGACATGGTTTCCTTCTGTAGAAATTTTAAACTGCCAAAAGAATATTACGGATTGCACTATAGACATAGTCCGAAGGCGTTTTTTTTTTTTTTTTAATTTCATTTGTCACTTCAAAAAAAACTAAAGAAGTAATATATTTTTTAATAAATTTTATCATTAGATTTTATTATATACATTTCGTAGGAATTTTAATTATTTTGAGAATTAATAAAAGGGTAATTACAGCTTTTTTTTTTCAGAATTACAGTTGTTTAATAATTTTCTCGTAATGGAATGAAGTTAATATTATGTGAGGTAATCAAAATCTAAATAAATAATCATTTGTGTGAAATATATACATTGAATTATACAAACTTTGCAAAATATTTCTAAACTCAATCTGATAATAAAGCGGTCCTAAATTTAAATATAAATGTGAGATTTAATAAAAGTGCAAGAAATCGCAGTAATTTATAGCCCTTCTATGTATGGAGAGACACAAACACGCACTATGTTACCGTCACATCTATTGGACTAGAGCAAATGGTACCAAAACGGTTGATAGTGAAATTTTGTAAGTCAAGGCGATGGCGCCAAACGTCAAGACAGCAACCCCTCGCGGGAATTTTGAAAGTCGTTTGCTTTTCCCTATATTGACCTCAAATCCCAATGCGATTAACGGCCACACGCATGCCACGATCTGCCGATGCCATTTTGACACGTGTAGTCCCCACAGCGCAATGTGGACTTCTCCCTTACACTTGACACTAACGTCAGGATTTGTGCGATTCACTCTCATTGCCATTGGTAGGTGTGTACAAGGAAACAAAATATGTCACATGTGGCTTCTTTTTACAGGGGTTTTAATTAATTATTTTTCCTTTTTTTTTTTTAGCTGCTAATCATTTGATTAGTTGTTTAATGGGAATTAATTAATTAATTAAAAGAGTTTAGTTTATGGACTCAAACTGTTCACGTGTTCGTACATGCTTGGCTCCTGTCCTGACGGCTCACGAGCCAGCTTCTTCTAAACATCTAAAAACACCGATTTGGAAAGTAAATACTAACATTAATTAGAAAAAGATCTATTACTTTCATAATATTACACGTTATTTATTATAAGAAACGGGTCCACTTTTTAAATAAGACAGTGATAAATAAAACAATTATATATTGAACAGACATTAAGTTGGTATAAAGTGTTGATATGAATAAATTTTTTTTAATAAAATTTATGAAATTAGCAGATTCATATAAATAGATAATAATTTAAAATGATTATATATATTTATTTGTTTTTTATAATTTACAATGAAAAATAAAATTTTAATTCACATTCATTACCATATATAGCATACATAATTGGAGTACAATTGTGTGATATACCTTTTGAACAATTATTGATTAAAACAATTCATATATTTGTGTCCTCTAAGATTAATAAAATAAAATATTTTTGATAATATGATTATTTCAAAATCACCAATTATATATCAATGATGGAGCAAAGGCTTTGGGCAATATAGAAAAATATATGTAATTAATGAACTTTAAAAACACCAATAGCAAGTAATGTAATTCTTTTGAAGTTTTTAAAACCATCTTTAGTAAATTTCAATGGTCCTTGCTAGGTGTCTCGGAGCTCAACGTGACAGGTCAAACAATGTACCACCATAACCATAGCCAACGACCACACTGTTATGGAATAAGACCTTCACGTCGGCCTAGCTAAGGTTTCCAATACTACGTACATTTCTTCCATGCTGTTAAGCATCAAAATATTACGAAGGACTCCACAGAACAATAGCGATTGCAGCCCCATCTCGTGCAAGGTATGCATCACTTACAAGAATCACGTGGCTTTGTCGATAAGAAATTCAATATTAAACAATTCAATAACACTGTAAAATGTTGAAATTTGATTAGTATTTGTTGCTTTACCAAATTTTTCGTTAAAGATTTGAATTTTATTCTCGTTTTCAAAAGAGTGTCAAATTTATAATTTTTTTTTTTTTTTTTTAACACAATTCAATAACACTGTAAAATGTTGAAATTTGATTAGTATTTGTTGCTTTACCAAAATTTTTTTCGTTAAAGATTTGAATTTTATTCTCGTTTCAAAAAAGAGTGTCAAATTTATAATTTTTTTTTTTTTTTTTTTAGTTATTGAGAAGAGGAATTTTTTTTTTTTTTTTTTTTTTAGTATTGAGAGAGGAATTCAAACTCAGATCTATTACTAGATTGTAAATACACTTACCACTAGATTATATCTTGATATAAGTAACTACAATCACATGAGGATATGTAGATTTAAATTCATATATGTCAAATAAAAAATAGATAAAAGAGGTTTGTTGATTTTATTTTTTCTAGAAATGTAATTCGTCTATGCTGATGCAACTGTCTATTGATTTTATTTTATTTTCCTTTTTCCATTTACAAAAAATGAAAGATATAACTTCATCGCTTATATTAAAAAATATATTTCTAATATTTTCTTCTCAGCATTTTTTATGGGTTAAAAAAAAGTTTAGAAACCGGTAAAAGCAATAATAGGAAAATTAATAATTAATTAATTAATTATCATAACTTTCTTATTTCAGAGGGAAAAAGTCATATTGTGAAGTGGGACTTTCTTTTTAACAAAAAATGGAGAAAAATTCCTCAGAAAAGCCTCACCTCACCTTACAAGTTACAACCTTTTGGCAGCAGTGGTCCTGGCCATAGGTGAGTTATGAAATCTATTACATCTAATTCAAAATCAAAGGATCCGCTTGATGGGCAATAAGATTTTCAAGACTGGACCACGCTTATTGTGGGACCCCTATAATTGTAAAATATATGATAATGATAATAATAATTATAGAGCAAGAGTAAAACAACAATCAACAACTTGTTTTGCATTTTGCAGTGATTTTGTTTTGTCATTTTCTTTATCTGTCCCTTAACTAAGAAATATGCACTTCACTTCACACCGCATATTCTCCTTTCCCCTTTTCTGAATTCAAATTGAAAACTAGGGCAAATGAGGCTATCACTAAACTATAACTAAATAGTTTAAGATTGCTAAATTTTAAAAATTAGTCAACATAATTACTAAATAAGATGAGTAAAATTGCAATTATGATTAAGTTTAGAAATAAATATTAGTTACCTTTAATTTTGCATGATTTGGTAATTGGTCTAATTTTTCAATAATTAAATCACAATTTCATGATTATAAAAGAGTTGGATAACTATCAATAAGGTATTGATTGGGGTAGTAAGCGATCTCAATCCCCGTAAAAGTGAGAACATAAATTCGATTTCTGAAAAACGCACTTTGCTATGAGTGCAAAAATCCTTTACGATGCTTTGTTGTGAGGGCAAAAAATATTTATGCTCTAGGACTCGCACTTTTTGTTTAAGAAAAAAAAAAAAGAGTTTGACAACTTAATATAAGTGAGTCAAAGTTGATTAAACTTGTTTTTTCCAAGACAAAAGTTTGTTAAAAACATCCTATTCATGAGTAGGTCCGTCACAAGGGTGGCAATTAAGCACTTCCGGCTCGGGGAAGGTATCAAATATCATTGCTCTGATTCTCTTGTGTACTTCCTATCGCAACTAAAGCATGCCTTGAAAGCATTTCGATTTTTCAGACGTTCTATAAATAGAAAAAAACACTATATCAGAAAAAGATTTTTTTTTTTTTAATTTCTTGAATAATTATATTAGCAATTTAAATGAAAATAAAGTAAAAAAGAAAAAAATTTGTATAATGATATTCTATAGTAATATTTTATAAGAATTACTAGATGAAGACTCGTACATTATGCGGATTGTTCTGTTTGCTATACATTATACTTTATTTCAAAAAAATTTTCAAATGATAAATTTTTACTAAATGAATAATAAAAATTTAAATTTTTAAACCTTTTTAAGTTCATAAATATAGCTCAATTTTCATGTTCTAATAATACAAAAATACCCTTTTACAAAATACATAACTTCCGTAATTAAAGTAAAAGAATAAAGTCTTGTAAAAATAAATTAAATAATAAAATGCTAATTTTTTGGATAGATTGGTGTAATAGTTTTTTTAGAATGAAAATATTATCTTCATTAGTATATATAAAACTATTACACAATTCTTGAAAACTAAAATATATAAAAAAAATAAAAAATATGTAAATATAGATAAGAGAAAAAATAAGAAAACTAAAATATATAAAAAAAATAAAAAATATGTAAATATAGATAAGAGAAAAAATTCAAAAGTATAATTAATAATTATCTTTGTAACTATTAATTAAAAATAATAGGGTTTACAGATATATGTGTAAAAAATTAATTTATTTACCTAGATATTGAGTATTATTTTCCTATTCAACATAGGACACTGAAATAAGCATCGTATAAGCTAATATACACTATTTTTTTTTCTGTCGTGCATAAGCCAAGTAGACATTTCTGGAGGAGATAGTGTGTTCCTAAAGAAATAAGTTCTTACACATTTACATTTAGCTAAGTAGTTTGCACAACAGTTAGCTTCTTTATGTATATGTTTGATAACGCAGCTCTTAAGCTAATATGCACTAATTTAGTAAAAAGAAACCTCCAAAATTTAAGAAGAAGTAAATTGAAACGAAGCTGCAAATTTAACTGAATAAATAACAGCACAATCATTTGGCTGGAAAAAGGAGAAAGTTGGAGTTGCATCAATTAAAAGTTGCATATTAATTAAAAAATTCATAAAATGTCTAATACGATAATTCATATTTGCCTAATTCAATAAAATTCTACTATATAAAAATTCTCTAAATTTTACTATAATTTCATAGACAGTTCAAGAGCATGTATCTATTATATAAAAACATATTTGCCTATCCAGGAAAATGTTTAAGAGAGTTTAATTCATCAAAAGATATAAAAATATAGTATTATTTATAGATTTCAAATAGAAATAAATTAAAACAAAAATAAAAAAATAGACTTTGCTGAAATTCAATAATTGAGTGTTTATGATTGATATTATTTAAATTGAGTTCTCGTCAATACTTTAAAAACACATAATGATTGAATGTTTATGACATCTATATAAATACATATGTATTTTTAAGCATAAAATTGAATCTCTCCCTTCAATCCTAATTTTGGCATCTCCATCATGATATATGCATGTGTTTTATAAATTGATAAAAATAATACTAAAATTACATCAAATTGAAATTTCATAACAAATTTTTTTTTCTCTTAATTTTCAAAAAAAAAAAAAAAAAGGTTTCATGTCTCTCAATAAATAATAAAAAAAAAAACACTTTCCATTTTATTTTATTGTCAATGGCATGTCACAAAAGGCCCGTGAGAAGCAAATTGCAAAAATGTTCTCGAACCGTAAAAAAGGAAAAAAACATAAATATCTTTCATCTTTAACAGCGCCGTTAAACCCGAAGCCGTCCTAAAAGCCTACGAAGCCGGGTCGGAATAGTATTATTATTTTCCTCCATTTTCTTTTTCGCCTTCTAATTTTCATTTTTCCTCTCAAGAAATTTCGAAGTACAAAAGGCAAAAAATGCCACACTTAATTTCTTGAGATTTTTTTGAAAAAAAATTTCCATTTCCTCTCTCTCTCTCTAGCAGAGGTGTCCTCTCCTTCTGCTCTATAATGGTACAGCGACGACCCCTACAACCGCATCGTCTTTCTCCTAGTCAACTAATTTCACCGCTTGCTGTTGTACATTCAAAATCCTTCGTTTGTCCTCGTTGTTTTGATGTAAATATCCTTTAGCTCCCTCTGAAATCTCTATCAGACTTCTGCGCGTTTTAGCTCTGCCGGAGACGTTTCACGGAGGAGTTTTTAGACTCGGAAATTATTTTAAAGTGTTTGAGCTTCTAGCTGTCTACTTGGTGAATCTATGTTTTAAATAGAGATTTTTTAATTTATATTACTAAAAACCTGAGCTCTATATAAGAGTTGGGATCCCTAAATTTGTCGAAATTTAATTTGGCATTTCTCTGTACTTTGGAAGTTTTGGAGATTCAGAATTTCGGTGCGAGGTAATTTCACTTTTTCTAGATGTTACTGTTTATTTGAGAATTCTAAATTTGAAGTTGGTTCGATTTTATTTTATTATGAAGAGAGAAGAATGATTCGTTTTCATAGCTTAGAAATTATTTGTTTATTCTAAAGAATCTATGTTTATTTGATTTAGTGGGAACATTCAGCTATTTGTTTAATCAGTTTAGGCGTTGTCAATTATATAATTTTTAAATTACTTTTTGAATATCCTTATTCTCATGTCAGTGTATGACTTAAATACTAATACTCTACCTGTTGGACCGAGATCTGATTAGTTTCATTCCTGTAGCTGTAAAATATTCGAGCCCGTGATGAATTTTCTTTTGGATAGCAAGTGCTATGCCATTTTGTTATGTCAACGGTGGCTATGATTGTCTTGTGCTCTTGTAAACCATCGGAATATCCATTGCGAAAATTAAATTTGTATCCATACAAGGATGGAAACTTGCGGAGCGAATGTGGGATTTTCTCCCTATTTTCTCAGCAACTGAATCGACCACTTCTGTTTCCTTTTAGAAGCAAAAAAAGTTGCTTATGGAATGCAACAACTCGATAACTGTTATGGACTATTAGTCTATAATAGTAAGACTGGGGTTCTAACTTCTATTTAATGTGATTGATTGCAAAAGCTAGGGTTTCGATTTGCAATCTGTTAAATCTGAGAACTAATCAACCTGTGTTAATTTGTCTCTATTTTGGAGTGGGAAATGCATGAATGTGCCTTCGCCTGAATTAACCAAATATCGGTTCAATTTATCACGTTTGAACTTTTGGTTGTTTCTGCTTTTTGCTCGTCCAATTTTGATTATGAGGTGAATTTGTTTGAGGAAAATGAAGAGAGTATGATTGTTCTGAATTCATATTTCAAATTTTATATTTAGATGCTTGCATCGTAATCTTGATTCACTTTGCGTGGTTAGAAGTTTGTTACTGGATCTCTTGTTTCCACTGAATAGTCAAACTTTCATTTTTATACATTTTGTCCTATGATTTCCCGTGTGTTGTTCTTTTTTCAGGCAAAATCTGCTTCATCCTATGAATGCCGCAGAAATAGATGCTTTTATTTTCCATTTACTAAATTGTGTGGCGTTGACAGCAGTCAGCAAGTATCTGAGCTGAAGAGATGCCATCAGGTTGCATTCAGCTGGAATGAAGACCTTACAGGTCTGTTGTTCACACGCCTGCATATGGTGCTTCATAGGTTCTTGACAAATTTATTCTTTCACTGATGCAAATACAGTTGCTTCTTTATTGGTATCGTTTTTCTTGGCAAGTACATGAGTGAAATCTTCAACTTTTCTTGCATACCCTTCTATCCTTTCCTCTATTCACTGTCCCTTTCTTCCCACAACATGTGCACATGTTACTCTTGAAAGAAAGTTCCTCTATTCTATGTTACACTGTGCATTAGGTCCCCACGCTTCATCTTTTCAAGGCCTCCTTTGTCTTGTTTTTTCAATGATTGCCTCTATTTTATCCTTCTCTCTTGTATTTGGTGAAATTAAATTTTTAAGTTTTCTTTGACACTACGAATGCTACCGTGTTAACATATTGTAATGTCAATAAGTTCTATAAACCATTAGCAATTTTTTGGTACCTCCAGCATTGCTTTCTATAGTGTCCCTAGTAACAGAACTCTAAGACACTAGTATGGCTGCCCAAATCAATAAGAAGCATAGCCCTTCCAATTTTATTTTTTCTCCAAAATTTAAATAATGCAGTGCCAATCAGTATAGCCTATTAGTTGGATGCATCTAATTCTGAGACTTGTGATTCTAAAGTAGCACTTTAAAGGACTCTCACTTGCCTATTGATTTAATTATGTTGCTTCCTTAGAATGTCAATAACTATTGTTTGATTTGTTGCTTCTTAGTAACTTGAAGAGAATATTTTATTGGATTACAGAGCACCCAAGAAATACAGTCCTCAACACAAGTTTCACAGGACTCCCAAAGTGACCAACAGACGAATCACACAGCAGAGGTTCCTGCAGCAGATTCTGGTTCAGTATCTGCTTCAAGCAATGATAGCCGAAAGGTTTCACGCCAAGATATTGAACTTGTAAGAGGACCTATCTGTCCTTTAGGTTAATTGTATCCTTTCTTATGTTCTTTTTTTCCTCCTCCTATTTTATAATTGTTTGATCTTGTTTCCTTCTTAATATTTGATTGGAAAAATTATTAATTGATCTGATTTTCTCTTCTCTGCTAATTGTAGTCTTTATAATGGCTGTTGCAGGTCCAGAACCTTATAGAACGGTGCTTGCAATTATACATGAACAGAGATGAGGTGGTCAAAACTCTGTTGACACGTGCAAGAATAGACCCTGGATTTACAACACTGGGTAGGCTTCTTGAAATTTTTAGTTAGGCCTTGTCTTTTAGGTGCCCTCAAGATCAGTTGGTTGAAATTGTGCTGATGTCATTAAGAATTGTTGATATCCTATTTTAAATTGAAGTGCTTATGAGCAAGGTGGGTGCTAGTGATATCATAATAGACATCTCCCAAAGTGTGTATGTGGTCTATATTTTCAGCAGGAAAACTCTAACCTAGCTAATCATTCTTGTGGTGACCATTGGTAGTTTATTCTTTGTTCAACATTCAGAAAAGTATGTTCACTTGTAAATCCTTCAAGCCAGGATCCTACACATAAAATGTTCAAACCAGAAACCTCTAACCTATTTTTAATTTTTACTTTTTTCAGTATGGCAGAAATTGGAAGAAGAAAATGCTGATTTCTTCAGAGCCTATTACATAAGGCTGAAACTGAAGAAACAGATTCTCTTATTCAATCATTTGCTTGAACATCAATATCATCTCATGAAGTATCCTGTACCTGCAAAGGTTCCTTTGGGCCCTATACAAAATGGGATTCATCCCATGCCCGGTAAGTTCTAACTTTATAATAATGGGTTGTGGAAGCAAATGTTACCTCATTATAGTACAAGAGATATCTGTATGGTAATTTTCTGTTCTGTAAGATTTTATCTGTGGTTAAAAACTGGCACCTTCTTTGTTTTTTGATCTTGCTGTCTCTGCCCAATTTTCCACTTAATTCTTGTTTCTATTAATTATGTTCATCTTTTTGAGCTTAGTAGTCTTATTAGTGAATGATCTGTGACTGAGTTGACAGCTATTGATAGTGTTGCATTTTTTTTATAACATTTATTGTTATTCAGCATCACTTCTTTGCAGTGCAGTTAACAATTTACCGATGGGCTACCCTGTCCTACAACAACCTCCAATGCCTGCTCCAGGTCAGCCCCATCTCGACTCCATGGGCTGTGGAATATCAAGCTGCCATGTTGTTAATGGAGTTCCTTCACCAGGAAATTTTCATCCCATTCGGATGAATTCTGGGAACAAGTGAGAAATTTTCCATCTTCCTTTCGCTCTCCTTGATTTATTTACTTCATCAGCACTATTCCTGACCCCCTTCCCCCCTCTTCAACACAAAAAAAAGACCATTATATTTGCACATGCACACATGAGTGCTTTCAGATCAACAATTGCTTTTAGCTGATAAGCAATTGCTTCTATATGTATTGGCTTGTTTTCTGGTTTGCCTAAACCTCAAACTAGCAATCATTTGTAGTTGATGACCAATTTAGTAAATTTTGTTATCTATATTTGTGTCTTGAATTTGAATCTCTGTTGTGTCCCTAAACCAGGTTGAAGGGAACAAAACTCTTGAAGTTGACTCTAACAAGAATATGAAATAGGTTTAGTTAAGTGGTATTTTGACGTTTGCCTTATGTAAGCTTATGTTTGGTAAATAATGCAACGCATGGAAAAAGTCCTCTTAAGCCCATCATTTTCCATGATTGTATGCTGGTGCCTAACATGTATAACGTGTATCTTTCTCTCTCTCTGCATGTGCGTGTCTGTGTCATATGCTCCAATAATTTTGGCTTGCCCATTGACAAAATGCTATAATGTTTTCATGCTTGGTTTTCTTTCTTTTCTATATTAGTTTTTGTTAGAAAGATGTTATAGCTAATGGCAGCTGCACTTATCTTTGTAGTATGGTGATGGAGAATAATACAGCTGATATGGCTCCTGTAGTTCCGCTAAGCAGTGCCATGTCATCCATGTCTGAGATGCCTATGAGTCCTACATCAGTTGCATCCAGTGGTCATTTTCCCTTCACTGCATCAGAAATATCAGGAATGGGAGTTGACACATCAGCACTTGATACAGCATTTACATCTGATGTGGCAAGCTCAGTAGGATTGCAGCTTGGACCAGATGGTGGGGCCGGCACATCTAGATCACTAGATCAGATTCAGTGGAATTTCAGCCTCTCTGACCTAACAGCAGATTTATCGAACTTGGGAGGTAAATTGCTAATAATATTTGTGTAAATTCGGCTATGCCCCACGAAAGTTGTATTGTTATTATTGAACATCTTCTCACATACGTAGAAATTGCAATCTGATCATTTTATGTACCAATTGTTTAGAATATTTTGATGAGTATTATGCTGCTATACTTCATGGGAATTGGCAACATACCTAATCCAATTCTGGAATTCTCATGTGCTTATGATTTTATTTTTCTTGGAGTTTTGATGAAATTCGTTACCTTGGAATTTTTTGCTTTTTGCAGATTTAGGAGCCCTAGGAAACTATCCTGGTTCTCCATTTCTGCCCTCTGATTCAGAAATTTTGCTTGATTCTCCAGAGCATGAGGACTTAGGTAATGGGGTTTCTGTTGTCGGTTTATCTCTTGATGCATATATTAATTTTTTTGTTTCCTTTATGCGTGAGATATATAAATGATGAGCCAACACTGGAAAATATTTATTTTCTACTGATGCATACATACTGAAATAATTTCAAGTAATAAATTTATGAAAAAGTAAGTCCTGATTTTTCTGATTTGAGATGTGTCTAGTTATCGCCCATGCTGATAGGTTTACCATTGTAACAGTGGAGGAATATTTTGTTGATTCTGTCCCTGGGCCACCGTGCTCCCATTCAGATGAAGAGAAATCCTAGGCTAAGGTGAAGTCAGATGGTTCTGCTCTTGGAAATTGTTAGGATAGGATGAGATAGATGAATAAAATTAAACATTTATCATCTGTTCCCTAGGGACTTGGATATTGTAGAATTGAATGTTTATGTTGTGGTGACTTATTTTTGATTGCCTTTCACATGGCCTTAGGAAGTAGTCTTGTTTTTAGTTGTAATTTTTAACCTATCAATAAACTAGTAAAAGTGCAAGTTTATATTCTTTTTCCCTTTCATGTTTGTCGAAATAACACTTCATAATTGAATGAAGAACTTGAGTTGAGATATGTAATTCTGGGTTTGGACTGTAACTGATACGTGTATTTGATTATATTACTGTTGCTATTTGATGTTTCTAGCAGACCGTTATTTTTGCATTTCAAGTTTTGCAATGATAATGCTAATATTGAATGGACCTAACTGCATTTTATGCCAATAAGGCCAGTTGATGCCATTCGTCGCGTAATAAGGCCTGCTGCAGCAACCCAACCCGTTATTAGAGTCGTGGCTAAAAGCAGGCCCATAGCCAACCCGTTATCAGTGTATGTTATCACTTTCTCTTTTCAAATATGGGCCGAGACTAGACCGGATAGATTTGGATCGTAATCTTGCAGGCCTTTGGAAATCTAAATAATTCGGTTTTTGAGCCTTTTTTTTGTAACGATTTTCGCCGACATGAAAACTATTTTATGGACAGAAAAAACAATTTCAGCAGTACGTTATTTATGTCCAAAAAAGAAGAAAAAGAGAATACATGTTGAAAAACCTAGAAGAAGAAAATACATGCTCAAAAAAGTTGGAAAAAGGGAGAACTTATATAATAATTTAAGCTTTTGAAATTATAGACAACATAGAAAATATCGTTAACGAAATTATTTGTGAATAAATTTTGCAAATTAATGTCTTGACATGTCGTCCACTGCAGCTTCAATGATTGTGTTTCTTGAATAGTAGATGCTTAATGTACTATCTGTGTTTTTATTGTGTGAGATCCTTTTCATGAAATAAAAATCGTCATTATTATTTGTAATTTTGTCTGTCGTTCATCGTGCTACAGTGCAATCCGTGTAAACACAAGTGAGAAAGACCATTTCAATTCGAACTGGTGACCGTCAAAATATCTCTAATCGACCACCATTCTTTATTTTACTATTTCCTAGTATTGAAGTCTGAGAAGACCAATGCACAGGAAGTCGTCAGGTCAACCATTTTGCTTCATTAATAATATGTTGCTTTCTTCCTTACCAAACAATAATAATAATAATAATAATATCTTTTCAAATAATAATAATAATAATAATAATAATAATAATAAGTTGCTTTCTTCAGCGTGCTTATCTTGAAAACCTAATGTCAACCTTTAGGCTTCAATCTGATTCTATATGGGTGGATCTTCCTCTTCCATCTATCCCATGACAATTTTAGAATTTGAAAATGATGCTAAAGTCCGTTTTTGTATATGAAGAAATTAATTTTTGGTAAAAAAAAAAAAAAATTTATCTGCTTAGATTGTAAATTTAAATTTAAAATTATTAAAAAAAGGCGTTTTTAACAAAGAATATTTCTTGCTTAATCTTGTAATTTATTTGTCATTAATATTATATTTTTGAAGTGTGGAAAAAGGATAAATATAAATTGCTGAAGATATTTACATATGTATTGATTTGACAGAAGGCAATTGAGAAGAGGTATGCACTTCAAATATTCAACCATTGGATAGAAAAAAAAAAAAAAAAAAAAAATATTTGCTGGAATGATATTCTATACATATGTAATTGATTTGACCAGAAGGCTTAATCTGAGAAGAGGTTTGCACCTTGAATAATTGCAAGCACCCATCTGGAGAGAAAAAAAAAAAAAAAAAGAAGAAGCCTATATGGTCACAGATCGTCACTGTTGGTCACGTTTAGGAAAAGCATGAAGCAATAAATATGAAATAGAAAACATTGTCAACACTGAAACTTCTACTTGGAGGCTTCGCCATGCACCTGACTATTTCCTTTACACTTTGGTTTGTTTGAGGGAGAAGCGAAAGAGAAAACAAAGGAATGGAAATTCAAATTATTATTTTTTAATTCCATTAGGCTGGCTTAATCACGATCCAAAGAAATTATTTTTAACATTATAAAAATTGAAAAGAAAAATTTTACAGAAAAATAATAAAAATAAAAAAGGTAATCTTTTGAATATAAACGACGGAGATAACATTAATAATTAATAAACTGTGTTATGGAAATCAAAATTTCAAAATAGCTTATTTAAAGTTCCATTTACATACTTAATAGTCACAACTCATTTAAATGATTAATAAGTATCTGAAAGGTTGTGGGACGTATTAATTGACGCTAAATGCGCTATTTCATATTTAATACATTAAATTTAATATACTATTTAATATTTTTAAATTTTTTAATATTAATGTCACAACCATTTCATGTTAATTCAAATGGAAAAAGGAAAAAAAAAAAAAAAAAAAAAGAAGCCTATATGTCAGTCGTCACTGTTGGTCACGTTTAAAAACAATAAATAAATAAAAAAACATTGTCGCACTCAATTTCTTGGAGGCTTGCCATGCACTGACTATTTCCTTTACACTTTGTTTGTTTTGAGGGAAGCGAAAAGAAAACAAGGAAATGGAATTCAAATTATTATTTTTTAATTCATTAGGTGGCTTAAAGGATCCAAAGAAAATTATTTTTTAACATTATAAAATTAAAAGAAAAATTTTACAGAAAATAATAAAAATAAAAAAGGTAATTTTGAATATAAAAGGAGATAACATTAATATTAATAAACTGTTAATGGAAATCATTTCAAAATACTATTTAAGTTCATTTAATATTAATGTCACACCATTTAATATTTAATAATAAATGGTGTGGGACGTATAATAGTAAATGGTATTTAATATTTAATACCATTTAATATTAAATACTATTTAATATTTAATTTAATTTAATATTAATGTCACACCATTTCATGTTAATTCAATGGAAAAAGGGTTGATAGTAAAATAGATGATATAATGTTATATTAAAAAGATAAAAATAATATTTTAACAAAAAAGATAAAAAAATTAATTTTACTTTTAAAAATAAGGTAACTTGTAATTTGAGATAAATGGAAAAAAAAATACTTATGCTTGTGGGACGTATAATATAAAATTAATATTTAACTATAAATATTTTTTTCTTTAAATTAATATATTCTTTTTTTTAAATTATAGAAAATGCAGGTAGGTAGCTTAATTTTCTAAATTTGAAGTAACACAATATATAAAGAAAGACTTGACTATTATCATAATAGTAATAATAAATTAATAATAATACATCGTCCGTTTCCCCTCGTGTAGCTTTCGTTACCCGAACAAAGTGTTGGTCCTTTCTCTCTCTCCCCCTCTCTTGTTCCCCTTGTGTTTATGTTATATTTTCCCTCTCTTTCTCTGGAAGCAGAAGAATAGCTGCCATGAAGACTCCGTCCTCTGTCCTCGAACTTTCTTTGACAGCTACACTATCTTTACCAAATATTTATTTAAGATCACCTTCGCTTGCTCTCTAACTTCCTCTCCGGTCACCCACTGTTAAAAATGAAATATATAGACAGTAAATGTTTTGCTTCATCATCACTCTGCCGCCGTCCTGTTTGTTTTACTCTTGCTTTCTGTTTGCTCTAGCTCCTGAGTAAATATCATAGAAACACCAAGAATAAAGAGAAAGAACAAAGAAAGAGAACTCGGGAAGGGAACAAACATCCTTTCTTTTTTTGTGGTGACAGGTGAGACTTCTTGTTAATTGTTCGGAGAATATTAAGTCATTGAATATTCTTAATTCTTGCAGTTGACAACTTTTCTTACCAACCAAACAGATATTTTTTATTTTCTTTTTCAATTTTCAATTTAGTCTCATATTTGAACCATTAACAAGGTAATGCTTTTCTTTAAAAATTTTTTTTGTCAGGTTTGGCACTTGGATTGGACCAAGCACAAGTCATGAATATCATCAGGGGAAATAAATTTGTCAGGTTTGTTCTGTTTATTTAACAAATAAAAATTCTGGTTCTGGATATTTTTCGTGGTAATCTTTTACTGTTCCAATGATCGTTAGTACAGTAACCAGCCAAAGTGTGATACAGTGATCAAACATTAATTGATGTATGTTTTAATCTAATCAATGAACATCGTTTCAAATTAATTTTTAGAAATGGAAAGAAAAAAGGTAAGATCAAGTGCGTAAAACATCTTATACAAATTTAGCCTGATTTATGATATCTATGAAAAATTCATGATGTTGAATAATTTTAAAAGGCATTTTAAGATATATTTGGTAAAACATAGTCATATGTATTTTTAGTTCAATCAGTATTTGATCAGATTAGATTAGATTACATTTGTTTGTGATGCAACAAACATAGCCTTAGCGTATTAATTGGTTGTGGTTGAGTTCTAACCTTTTCCTTTTTGTTCAGGTTTGAAGACTGGAATTCAGACAAGTCCTGTAGTTCAGAAAGACAATATTCCATATATGATGGGTTTTATGCAAGAAAAGTAAAGCCAACAGTAAGCGCAGTTTGGGGTGGTATCCACAGAGGCTGGGAGATGGGTTCTGATAGGTTTAAAGGGTTGAGAAAACCAACAAAAGAATCAGTCAATAAAAGGAAAATTTTTGATCCACAGGGTGCATTTCTCCAGAAGTGGAATAAAATATTTGTGCTTGCCTGTTTTCTCGCAGTTTCCCTAGACCCTTTGTTCTTTTACATTCCAGTGATTGATGGGGTTAACAAATGCCTTGATTTGGATAAGAAATTGGAGACGACTGCTTGTGTTCTTCGGACATTCATTGACGTGTTTTATGTACTTCGCATAATATTTCAGTTTCGTACTGGGTTTATTGCCCCTTCTTCTCGAGTATTTGGTAGAGGCGAACTGGTTGAGGATCCGATCGTTATAGCTAGAAGATACCTGACCTCCAACTTCGTGATCGATGTCATGTCGATTCTTCCACTTCCTCAGGTATATATTTAAGTTAATGTCCATTTTGCTTACTAATGCTCATAATGGCTATACAGGTGATAACTTTAGCAATTTTGAGGAAAAATTCTGTTTTTATTGGTCAGGTAGTAGTCTTAATCATCATTCCCAGCTTGAAAGGTCCTGTTTCATTGGTTGCTAAAGACTTGTTGAAGTATATTATTTTGTCCCAGTACGTGCCAAGATTGATGAGAATCTATCCTTTGTTCAATGAAGTAACTAGAAGTTCTGGCATACTTACTGAAACAGCGGGGGCTGGGGCTATTTTTAATCTCTTTCTCTACATGCTAGCCAGTCATGTGAGTTTGATTTTGTAAATGACAATTAAAATCCTTAAAACTATTGATATTACCGCGGATCCCTGATCAATATAAGAAAAATGTGACATACTACCAGGTAATTGGAGCCTGCTGGTACTTGTTGTCAGTAGAACGCCAAGATAACTGCTGGCGTAGAGTGTGCGAAGCCCCTCTGTGTCGTTCTAATGATCTTTACTGCGGAGATCACCGTGCAGATAATACGGCCTTGAGCACATTTCTGAAAGATTCATGCCCTTTTATCCAGCCTGATGAAATTAAAAATTCAACTATCTTCAACTTCGGATTGTTCACCGATGCTCTTGATTCGGGTGTGGTGGAATCATGGGATTTTCCTAAGAAATTCTTCTACTGCTTTTGGTGGGGTCTTCGTAATCTTAGGTCTGTAGATATACAGTTTTTAATCCATCATAATTTTTTTTTCATTTTCTATCTGCAGAACACGTTCTTGAAAATCCAAGTAATTTTCTTCTTGTCATTTTACAGCTCTTCGGGCCAGAACCTCAAGACAAGCACTTACGTTGGAGAGATTCTCTTTGCTGTTTTCATATCCATTGCAGGGTTGGTTTTATTTTCACTGCTTATTGGCAATATGCAGGTAATTCTTTGATCTTGTTATTTGTTTGTTTTCCAATTTCTTATTAAAACCTATGAACTGGTTAAAGATCTATTTAATGAACTTGTCAACAAAAAATAATAAAAAATTATTAATTTTTTATTGTACAGAAATATCTACAATCCACCACGGTTAGAGTAGAGGAAATGAGAGTGAAAAGAAGAGATGCAGATCAGTGGATGGCACACCGTATGCTTCCTGAAAACCTGAGGGAGAGGATTAGGAAGTATGAGCAATACAAATGGCAGGAAACCAGAGGTGTGGAAGAGCAGACTGTAATCCGTACACTTCCTAAAGATCTCAGAAGGGACATCAATCGCCATCTCTGCTTTGATCTAATCACGAGAGTGAGTGCTCTCCTGAGCTTTCTTAACAAAATATCCAAAAATTAATTTGTTAAAAAAATATGTTCATGAAATCCTTAATTAGGTGCCAATGTTTGAAAAAATGGATGAGAAAATCCTGGATGCAATCTGTGATCGTCTCAGGCCAACCCTTTATACAAAGGATAGTTGCATTGTTCGTGAAGGTGATCCAGTTGACGAGATGCTATTTATCATGAGAGGTGATCTAGTGAGTGTGACCACCAATGGTGGAAGAACTGGTTTTTTCAATGCTGTTTATTTAAAGGCTGGTGATTTTTGTGGAGAAGCGCTTCTTACATGGGCATTGGATCCTCAATCAACATCCAATCTCCCTATTTCGAGTAGAACTGTGCAGGCTTTATCAGAGGTTGAAGCCTTTGCTTTAGTAGCTGAAGACTTGAAATCTGTTGCCTCCCAATTTCGACGTCTTCACCACAAGGATATCCAGCACACGTTCAGGTCAGTTCTGATATATGGATTTCAATTACATTTTCAGAATGCTTGAATAATTTCTTTTTAAGTTTGGATTTGAAGTGTTGTGTGATGATAAATCTATATGATTTTTGGTTATCAGGTTCTTTTCTGTGCAATGGAAAACATGGGCAGCATGCTTCATACAAGCAGCTTGGCGGCGTTACTGTAGGAGGAAGCAAGCTAATTCTCTACGTCAAGCAGAAGAAAATTTGCAAGATATTTTGGGAAAGGAGGCTGCAAGCTTGCCAAGCCTTGGCGCCACCATATATGCATCAAAATTTGCCGCCAATGCCTTGAGAAATCTGAGGCAAAATGGTGGACGCACCCCTAGATTGCCACATAGATTGGCGTTGGTGCCTCAAAAGCCAACTGAGCCTGATTTTTCTGCTCACAATCGCTAGTTACTTAAAAATATACTTGGAAGTTAAATGTACATTAAGCATAGTACATATGTATTATTATTCTAAAAAGAAGCAAAATATTGTTATATTTTTGTTTCTGGTAACTCAACGACTGAGTCTTAGTTACACAGGCTTTGAGTACATATTTTGCTCGAGGCTGGGCTGAGCTAACTCTCTTCATAGATAGAACAATTGACTAAAACCAAGTTATTAAGTTGCTAATTCAAGGTTTGATGACTCTCATTTCTTTTTCTGCACGACGAGTGAAAAATATTTCAAATAAAGCCAGTCTATAGGATCCAATTTCTCTAACGACTGCTTTAATTCAATTTATTTTATTGTTCCATTATTTAAATTCCATTGCTGAAACAGACAACAATGAGGATATCATTACAGTATAAATTTGAATTCTTGTTCTTTCGACATGAGAACAAGCTGAAGTTTTTGTTGATTTATTATGCAGTATATTATGTATTGATTTCTTCTACCTACTGCAGAAGCAACTCTTGCTGCAACACAACCTTATGCTGAGATCCTGCATCAAGAAATTAATAATATTAATTGGTATTTGATCATGAAATTAAAGAAACGAGAGAGAAAAAAAGAGAGATCTAGAGAGAAATACTTGGAGCAGTCCAAATCAGGGGGAATATGGACGGACAAGCCACATTGCTGGGGAAGTTGAACAATGCGAGGTGCATCATATTTACGATTTACCAAGGACGCCTTAATGCACTCGCACGCAGCTTGCCAATCAGGAATTGTCTTGGCATGGCCATCAAGTTCTTTCATTGCATTACAACAATTTCTTGATGGTTGGTCTGTCTTGTCAGTAATGTAATCCAGGCATGGAGCTACCTCACTCACAACTGAAGCGCATGATATCTCAAG